CCAGGCTCACCGTCGACGCCTTCGCCAACGCCTTCCCGTCGCCTACGCCTATATCCTATATCATCGCCTGCGCCTGCGCCACCGCCTCCGCCATCGCTGGCGGTCTCCCCGCGCGGGCTGGGGAGCTGCTGGCCGTTCGTCGCTCGAGTTCTGGGAATTCCGAGCTCGCCGCGTATGCCTTTGTCCCCTGTCCCTCCCTTCCTCTCTTCTCTCCCCCCGCCCTCTGCGCGTCGCCCACCCCCCATCAATTGTCCCACTTGGACTTGCGCCGCCCCTCCCTCCCTCGTTGTCGTGCCCCGGCCCACCGCCGGCCAGGCTGCTGATGCCTTGCACCCCCCGCCCCCCCTCGGCATTCGGGGGGTCGCCGTGTGCTCCCCCGTGAAGGGCACCTCCTGGGGCAGCGGCGACACTGGCACCCCAAAGGCGCGGGGACCGACGGCCCAGTGGGAAGTGTTACCCCCAGCCGGGGAGTTGCCCCGTACCACGGGTACCCCCCAGGGGCCGACTGAAACAGCATAGTCCGAAACATAATCCTCCTCCTCCTCCTCCTCCTCCTCCTCCTCCTCCTCCTCCTCCTCCTCCTCCTCCTCCTCCTCCTCCTCCTGCTGCTTTGAGCTTCGAGCAGATGGCACGCGCATCCGTCGGATGCTGCCCAGCCCGCCCGGCGGACATCGCCGCTGAGGGGTTGAAGTAGAAACGGAAGAAAAGAAACGGTGGTCCCGCCCGTGGGCGCCGTCTGCGCTCGACAAGCGAGGCTGGGCCACAGGCTTACTCCGCTCCAGCGGGGAGGGGGGCACCCTCCCCCTCGAAGCCGCCCATCCTGCTAATTGCGATCCCTCGCCCTTGACTCTCAATCCAACCCAACCCCCCTCACATGATAAGTGTGAGCTGAACGGGCATGACGTTGCAAACGGTTGACTGTAGCTCGTGGCCTGTCGCAGCCCTCGAACTGGAACGGCCAGGTCGCGCCGGCACGGCCGCACCAATCTGGTTCAGAGCTCGTCGCGAGATTTTCCCCCACCACCACCACCACACCCATCATTGCATCCCCCCGCCGCTTCCGCCCTGCGCTGGAAGCGCGGGGTGAGACAAGCTCCAGGCTGGCGAACGTGCGCAGCCTGGGCCCGCCAAGGGCCCTGGGGGTGAACCGCTTAATCCCAGGGCCGCATTTGTGGTGTACGTATTTTTGTGCGTATTGTACGTCTTTTGGATTTTGTACGTATTGGTGTGTTTGTACGTATTGTTTGTGTTTGTACGTATTGGTGTGTTTGTACGTATTGGTGTGTTTGTCGATCCCGCATTGGTGTGTTTTGTACGTATTTTGGGATTTGGCACCACACCTGTGTTGCTGGAAGTGCGCTGAGGCAGAGGAGCGGCGCTGAGAAGTGGCTCTGGCGATCTGGCACTCGGCTTCGAAGGCGGGCCTGCGACTGTGGGGCGGTCGACGGTGCACAACCAAGCGCGGTGAGCCAGGCAAAGAGAGCAGGAAGGGAGGTCGCATGCGGAGGCCAGGGAGTATGGGGGGATGCCTCAAACAGTATGCTGCTGTGTGCAGCGTCTATCCATGCGATGAGATGCCGAGCCAGAGGCAAGGAGGAACGGCACGCGCCCGTGAGCCATTTGCGTCGTTAGGCAATCTGCACCGGTGGCCTGTGAGTTAGGCAACGAGGCGCCACGCAGCAGATCTGCGACTGACGTGCCCTCCTCGCCCCCCTCCCCTCAAACCCCAGCCCACCCAAATGCCCGCTCACCCAGAGCAGCGGCCTCGCCAGGCGCAACCAGAGACTCCCCGAGGAAAAAAACTCGCCATTTCAAACAACAAATGTTTCAAACTCAGCTTCCGGAAGCGCCCCGCGGCGGCAGTTGCGGCGGCAGGCAGGCGTGTGATACTGGCTTGCGCTGGCGGTGGTATATCGCATCCTGCGTGGGAAACGCTGCGGTGTGTCAGGCAGCGCTTTCGCCGCAGGAAGGTTGCTTGAAACACTGGCCATTTGTTGGGGCGGCTCGCAGGCGAAAGCTTGAGAGATTGCCGAGGCGAAAGGGCTGCAGCCGGAGAACAGGCAGCGTCGGTAGCTCTTCGTTTGGCTGGCCTCGGGGCCGTCGGTCCTCTGGGGCCGAAGGTGCAGGTGACGATGCACCTACTTGTGCCTCCTTTCAGTCTCATGCCGAGCCCAGATCGAGAGAGGGGGCGACATTCCGTTGGTGGGCTCGCAGTGGGGATGCCAATTGCGCTCGGCAGAGGCAGGGGCGGCATTGAAGGGTGGAACCCTGCGGCGTGCGCAGCTGGTTTGCCGAATCTCTCCACCACCCGCCCCAGCTCCTGCAAGCCCCCGCCCCCAGAGTCTGGATCCCCGTCGGCCAGCGGCGCCAGCGAGCGAGGGCGGCAAGGGCGCTGTGAAGCAAGGCAGGGCGCACAGCTTGGGTCGATCCCCCCGCCACAAGCTCTCCCCCGACCCATACCCGCCGCCACACGATGATAATATAAAGGCTAGCGAGGAATTCCTAGCATACTCCAGGGCGCCGGCGCACAGCTTGGATTGATCCCCCCGCCACAATCTCTCCCCCGACCCATACCCGCCGCCACACGATGATGATATAAAGGCTAGCGAGGACTTGCTAGCATCCTCCAGGGGCGCCAGCGCTCCGGTTCCTCATGCGCGGCGAGAATGATTCGGAGTGGCGCTGCACGCCCGTTTCCCGCAGCAGGCCTAGGAACTGGACGATGGCGCGCCGTTCGCCCTCGTCATTTGGATTCTCGCGAGTCGTTCTCCGAGGTCTTGAAGGAGGATCTGCCAGGGCTGTGCGGGGGAGAGCCGCCCAGGCAGCCACCATGATCCATTTCAAGCTCCTCGCCCTCCCCATCCTCCTCGGCGACGAGGGCCTCCACCTCCGACCCGACGTAACTGGCAGCCACCGCAACCTCCTCCAGGTCGAGGGCGTAGTCGCTGGCGAGTGCGTCGACGCCGTGGGAGTTGCCGCCAGCGAGGTTGTCCTCCGCCCGCGGCAGGTTCTCGGCGTGGGTCTCGGAAGCGCTGGTCGGTACGGCTGCTCCCCTCAGAGCTCTCACAAGCACTGACCCCTCAGGCGTACCCACGGCGGTAGCAGCGGCTGCTCCCCTAGGAGCTCTCGCCGGTACTGATCCATCAGGCATACTCACGGCGGGACTCACAGCGATCGCAACAGCTGCTCCCCCAGGAGCTCCTCCAAGTGGTTGCCAGCCTCCGGTGGGGGACTCCGTGTAGCGGCAGGGGTACTCCACGTAGTGGCTGGACGCTCCGCTGTCTCCTGGCTCCTCCGCCTCTTCCACCCCGTCGTCGCCAAGGGCGGTGGGGCCGATGAAGACGGTGGCGCCGCAAGCGCAGAGGATGGGCCTCGGCGCTGGAGGCGGCGGAGGCGCTGGCGTTGACCAACATCCGTGCGGACCGTGCGGCGCGGGGCGGTTGCCTCAGGTGGGGACGAACTCCAGGGCATGCCTGTTGATGTTACTGGTCCCAGCGTTGGTAGCGGCATTGGCGTCGGAGAAGGCTCTGACGTAGGTGTGTGCGTTCTGGTTGTCTCCGTGGTAGGTTCGGTTGCCATGAGGGCTGGGGCGCACAGGATCATGGCCAGGTCTTTGGCCGAGAGCGCGGCGATGGCCTCGCTTTTCCGCGCCGCGTAGGCGAGTCAGCGCCTCGCCGCGGCCCTGGGATCACGAGCCCCGCGCTGATGGACCCACTCTTCCCGTGGGTCTCCACGATGTGCACTCTGCATCTCGTGGGTCTGTCTCGGACAGCGCGCAGCACTGTTGGTAATCTCGTAGCTCAGGATGATGTCGGCGGCGTCGCTCGCGTAGCACTGGAGAAAGGTCCTGCTGTTTGGCTCCGCGGGTTCCGCGCTGTGGTCACGGGCATGGCTGCCCAGCGCCATGGCGGGCGCCGAAGCTGGCCTGTCGCCCCCCCTGCGGGACCTCTCGCCCATGTGTCGAGGGCCGATCGGGGAGATCCATGCCCCTGGGAGGCAACGGCTCCCTCTCCTCCTCCTCCTCCTCCTCCTCCTCCTCCTCCTCTTCTTCTTCTTCTGCTTATTCTTCTTCTTATTCTTCTTCTTATTCTTCTCATTCTTCTTATTATTCTTCTTTTTCTTCTTCTTCTTATTATTATTATTCTTATTATTATTATTCTTATTATTCTTCGTCTTATTCTTCTTCTTCTTCTTCTTCTTCCTCCTCCTCCTCCTCCTCCTCCTCCTCCTCCTCCCTCCTCCTCCTCCTCCTCCTCCTCCTCCTCCTCCTCCTCCTCCTCCTCCTCCTCCTTCTCCCCCGCCTCCTCCTCCACCTCCTCCTCCTCCTCCTCCTCCTCCTCCTCCTCCTCCTCCTCATCCTCCTCCTCCTCCTCCTCCTCATCCTCCTCCTCCTCCTCCTCCCCCTTTATCCTTTTCCTCCTCCTTCTCCTCCTTATCCTCTTCCTCCTCATCCTCCTTCTCTTCCTCTTCTTCTTCCTCCTCCTCCTCCTCCTCCTCCTCCTCCTCCTCCTCCTCCTCATCATCATCATCATCATCATCATCATCATCTCATCATCATCATCATCATCATCATCATCCACCACCACCATCATCATCATCATCATCATCATCATCATCATCATCATCATCATCATCATCATCATCATCCTCTTCCTTCTCCTACTCCTCCTCCTCCTCCTCCTCCTCATCATCATCATCATCATCATCCTCATCCTCATCCTCATCTCATCCTCATCCTCATCATCATCATCATCATCATCATCATCATCATCATCATCATCATCATCATCATCATCTCCTCTTCCTTCTCCTACTCCTCCTCCTCCTCTCCTCCTCCTCCTCCTCCTCATCATCATCATCTCATCATCATCATCATCATCATCATCCTCATCCTCATCCTCATCCTCATCCTCATCCTCATCCTCATCCTCATCATCATCATCATCATCATCATCATCATCATCATCACCATCATCATCATCATCATCATCATCATCATCATCATCATCCTCATCCTCATCCTTATCCTTATCATATTCCTGCTCTTCCTCCTCCTCCTCCTCCTCCTCCTCCTCCTCCTCCTCCTTCTCCTCCTCCTCCTGCTTAACCTGTCAGGAAGACCGGCCTCCCTGTGAGGCCTGGAAAAGAACGCTTTTTGCCGCAGTGCGCGGGCTTTCCAGGAGGCAACTCTCGGAAGGTGGGCCCCAGAGAGGCGGGGCGCCGTCTGATTGGCCGGCGCACCGAGGTGCCGCGGGCGACACGAATCTACGGTCGGGAACTTTTGGACACCGAGTCGCCACGGCGGCTCCAGCAACACGCTATCCCCTGCAAGCGGACAGCGCGTCGCTCCTCTCCGCGGGGCGGGAGGCCGGGGAAAGCTCGAGACTTTGACGCCTGGGGACCGCGAAGTGGACAGCGGATGGCGTGTCGCGCCGCAGCGTGGTGGGCCAGCCCTGGCGGAGCGACACGCTGCCCAGCAGCTCCCGACCGCACGCCCTGGCGGTCTGGATGAGCAGCGGCGCGGGATCCCACCGGTGCGCGACCCCGCGGGTGCACTCAGGGCGGGGCCGTGGGCAAAGCGAGGGGGGGCGGCCTCCGCAGAACCGGGCGCCTCCTTGGGCTCGCGGAGGGGAGGGGCCCCTGCGTGGAGGCGCTCCGGGGAAGGCCTCCGAAGGCACCTCGGCGCGGCGCGCGGCCTCCGAGGAAGTCCTCCGAGGAGGCCTCCTCTTCAGAAGGCAGGAGGGCTTCGACGAGGCGGGGCGCCTCGTCAGAGGGCCGCCCCCCTCGACCTTCCCTCGGCCGAAGCCCGCTCGACACCGGTCCCCCCACCCCGTGGCCCATCCAGGCCAGTATCTCGAGCCGCATCCAGCCTTGGCGACTACAGCCGCCGGATGCGCGCGAAAGCTTTCGAGATGACGACCGACGTGGTCGTCGTCGTCGTCGTCGTCGTCACCAACTGCGTCGCTGCCGCCGTCGTCGTCGTCGTTATCGTCCTCGTCGTCATCGTCGCCGTTGTCGCCGAAGGCGCCCCGGGACACGCAAAACTGACCCCAAGGTGGGCGCGGAGTCTCGCGGAGAGGAGTAGAGTGGAGTGATAGGCACGATGTAAGTCCTACGGAGAGGTTGGAGTGGAATGGGGGAAGTGGAGTGTGGGAAAGGGGTGGAGTGGAGTAGAGATGCGTAAAATGGGGTGCAGTGGAGCGAAGAGGAGTGGAGCGAAGGGAGGGAGGGAGGTGGAAGCGCGGGAGGGCGGAGTGGAGAGAGAGGATGGGAAGTGAGTAGAGTCGATCATCGATGCCCCTCCCCCCTTTCGCCGGAGGAACAAAGAACGACATATCCATGATCTCTGAGGTCCGCGCGGACTTCTTGGATCGGCGCTAGAACCCGCTCCCAGCGCGCCGAGCGCGCCAGGGGCGGCGCCAGAGGCGCCGCCAGGGGGGCTCCAGCGCCGATCCGAGCAGTCCGCGCGGACCTCCGAAAATGCATGTTTACGTCACTGTGTGTTCCCCACTCTTGCACCTCCGCCGGCCTGAGACCAGGCCAGGCCGCCCGGCGGGGCGCTGCCCGGCGCTCCGGCCGCGCGCCCCGCTCCCTTCAGCAGGGGGCTGCCTGGGCCTGGGCCGGCCGCGCTCCGCGGGCCGCCCACGCCCCGGCCGCTCGTTGCGGACGCCGCAGGGTCCTCCGCTGGCCGGCAGGCACGCCGTCGCAGTCGCCCTCGCGGCCGCCGCCGCCGCTGCCGTCGTCGCGTGGCGGCGGCGGCAGACACGACGTCGCCGTCGTCGTCGCCGTCGCAGTCGCCCTCGTGGCCGCCGACGCCGCTGTCGCGGGGTGGCGGTGGCGGCAGACACGCCGTCGCCGCCGCCGCCGCCATCGCCACCGCCGCTGTCGCCGGCGGTGCCGCCGCCATCGCCACCGCCGCTGTCGCCGGCGTTGCCGCCGCCATCGCCGCCGCCGTCGTGGGGTGTCGCGCGGTCCTCCATGGGCGGCAGCTCCACGGGCTTGGGCGTGCCCAGGGACGTGGCCCACGAGACGGGGTCTCCTGGGTGAGAGCGGCGGCAGTGCACCTGCACCGAACCCTGGCCAGGCCAGATCCAGGGCCACAGGATCGTTGCATGCGCCCTCCGAGATTGACCGGGAAAGCATACGGGCGTCGGCGGAGAAGTCGTTGGATGCGGCCCGCGGTTTGGAAGGAACGCGACAACTTCAGCCAGATCTGGGGATCAGGGGCCCTGGCAGGGCCTGAGACTCTCGCGTTCCCCACATGCGCCCCTCCGAACGCTGCCGCGGACGGCAAAATTAGGCGCTATTCTGGCATGATGCTCGGACGCGCGCGAACGGATGGGAAGCACCCCTCACTCCTAGTCGCACTTGCGGGGGTATGCAAATTCCCAGCGCATCTGCACGGATCCTGCGCCGCGGAATGGCCTGGCCTAGAATCGGCGTCGGTGTCACAGTCGGCGCCCCCCCGATCTCCCATGGGGCGGCCAAGGGGCCTGTCGAGGAACAGAGGAGCATCCAGCTGACGAGAGAATGCTGGCGCAGACCGCATCGTGCTGAGCGCTGCCGTCTTCCGCGTGCTGCTGAAGGCGTCGCTGGCATCCTTGGCCGCGATGGCGGCAGCAAGGTCTCTCTGGTTCTCCACCTCCTTGTCGAGGGCCTTGCGCCGCTTCTCCTGAAGGGCCTGCGGGCCGTGGGACCCCCTTGCCGAAGAAGCGTGTACGCTGGCAGCGCGAAAGGCGCCTTCAGCACTGTGCAAGCACAGGGCCGCGACATACTTCCACGACGAGAGCGGGGCCCGTTGTGACTGCCGTGGGCCCGCATCCTCTGCACAAGACTGAGAGAGAGTGCGAAACACATGCACACTCTGAACTGGCGAACGCCTTGAGGGTGGCTGCGAAGGCCCTCCTCTTGCCCAGGGTCTCGACCTTCGGAGAATTACAACAGCCTGCACGCATGCACCCGCACGGAACGCAACATTACTCTTATACCGTATGGAACCGTGCAACGTCGCCGAATACTCAAAAATCTACCGCTTCCTCCCCCCACTCCTAGCCCTTTCGATCAGGGTCGGCGGCACCGGCCGTCAGGCCTCTCCAATACTCAAAAATCTATCGGGTAAAACGGCGCTGGGCCTGGTCAGGCTGGCCCCGACAGTGCGCCCTGCCATGCCGCAAGGAAAGAATGCAACACGGTAAGCCCCGAACTCACGGGTAAGAGAAGGAAGGTGTCTGGGGGCGACCCTGCTCGTGGCGTAGCGAACGACGAGCACAACAGAAAAAGACCAGCAAACGCGATCCCAAACGTGCAGGAGGTCAGCAACCCACCAAACGCATGAATTGTTTGCGCGTGGTATGACAAGGCAGACCGCCGCGGCGGTCGAGTTCTTCACAAGCCATGAGAAGTTTGTAAAATGTGACCCCGCATGCCATGAAGTCCAGCAAAAGAAGCAAAGCGGAAATCCCGCCGCTGGCGCACGTTCCTCCTTATCGTTGCAATCCAAGGCGGGTCGCGGACGAGACGCGGGCGAGTCCAGGGGTCGTGGGTGAGCCTGGGCGCCGGCGCACCAGACGTGGGGAACGCGGGTCTCGAAGGGGCACGGGGCGCGGTGGGCGCGGGTCACGGGCGGATCGTCAGCACGTCGCAGGCGGTCGAGGGCAAGGGCCCTGGGCGAGAGGCGGGGCGCCGGCAGAATGGAAAGCAGCAGGAACCGACACTGCAGAATGCCACTTTTGAGAGCCACCCACCCAGGACGACAATGCTGGACCTTTCGGCCCCCTCGCTTTGAAATTCTGCTCTTGATGTTCTGCGGCCACAGCATGTTCCGTATCCGCAACGCGCGCGTGGGCGCGCGCCCAAACCACCGTTGGTGTGAGCGGCGTCCTGGATCTGTTTGCCTTTACGCAGCCTCGCACCTCAGAGCAGCAAGCCCCCTAAAGCAGCCAACGCCCCAGGCGATGGGCACGCGAGCACGGCGCTCCATCCGAGCAGAGCGACGAACACCCCCACCAAACTCTGCAGTGTCTCCTTCAACAGAAGCGGCCCTTTCGCTCGTCCTCCTCCTCCTCCTCCTCCTCCTCCTCCTCCTCCTCCTCCTCCTCCTCCTCGTCCCCTCCTCCTTCTCATCAATGCTGCGTGGCCATCTTCTGGCAACGCCAGTCTCCGAGTTCCCCCCCCCCTTCTTCCACTAGCATTGGATGCCAGCTCCAAAAACCTCCTGGCTTGCTCGCTCCACATCCGCACCATGCAGATGACCGCCATCTTAGTGTGCTCTGATGTCTGTGACGCCCCTGGTAGAGATCGACTGGCAAGCGTAAGCACCGAGCGATTGTCAACATGAAAGACACAGCAGACGACCGACCTCGCACAGCGCCAACACGATGGGACGACCGTGGCAGGAAAACAACAACGGTGAGCTGGCCACGCTGGCCCTTCCCCGCAGATGCCTTAAGGCCCTTCCTGGCCTCGGCGTCGGCGTACTCCTCGCTGCAACAGACAGCGGCAGGCCGCGGAAGGAGAGGCAATGCAGCTGCAGCAACCTCTTTCCTGGTCCAGAGGAAAATCGTCGTGGACACATTTACAGCTATATATAGTCACATACATCTATATAGATATATACATATATATATATACATATATATATATATGTATATATGTTTTCACATACGTACACCTATATATATATATGAATATGTGTATGCACTCATATGGGTATGTATATGCATATGTGTACGTGCGCGTACAGATATACACATGCTGGTACTTCGATACATGTGCCTATAGGGATGTGTATATCTATAGATAGATATGAGTAGACACGTATGCATGTTCATAGTGAAAGGAGGGAAGGGGGAAGAGAGAGAGAGAGAACAAACACACATTAGATTCATACATACATCCATCCATCCAGCCATCCATCCATCCATCCATCCAATCATCCATCCGGCACCGCGCCTCGTGGCAAGCTGAAGCGTGGTAGGATGCTAAGGGCTGTCTGGCTGGGTTCGCGTAATGTTCTGCGGGCACCCCCCCTTGCACTGTTTTAAGACACCATGGATCCACGGTTCCGAGGCCACGATCCCTTGTAAAACAAGTGGGCCCACGCTCCAGAGCTTCCAAGATGGCCGAGACGGGCAACCAAGGCCGCCAAGAGGACCCCGGTTGTCTCCAAGACGACCCAAGATGGCCCCAAGATGGCCCCAGAGGCCTCCAAGGCGGCCCAAGAGGGCAAAAAGAGGATTCCAAGCAGGGCGCGAAGGGGGCGTCAAGTTTGATTTCACTACGGCTGTTGAAACGAGTAGCAGAGAAGGGCCCCAACATGTCCTCCAAGGCAGCCTCAGGGTGGCCCAGGACGGCGTATTGAGAGACCTCCTAGACGACCAAAAAGTTCCTCAGACGGCCCAAGACGGCACCGAAAGACCCCCAGACAGCCAAGAGGGCCACAAGACGGTCCAAGACAGCTCCAAGGCCCCCTCTGGATAACCAAGAGGGTCCTCAGACGGCCCAAGACGGCACCGAAAGAACCCCTAGACGGCCTGGTGTTGATCGTGAGGCTGCACGTCAAATTCGCGAACCGTAATCGCAGTCAGCATCAGCAGCAGCAACGTCCTTATTCGACTAATCATCCTCACTTTCAGCCCATCATCATCAACAAGACCCTCATCATTACGATGGGACCCGCTACGCTTAGCGTGTACGTGGTCGCAGCCATCGTCTCACCCATCCTCCTCACTATCGCGCTCGCTCAGGTTCTAGCGCAGGACGGGCACGTAATGCCAGAGCGGTGTCGGCTCGAGCGCGCACGAATGCAAGCCATAGTCGCTTCCTCCACTACTCCTCAGCATCATTACCTTCGTCACCACCGTCCCCCGTGTCCTCACTATTTGTTGGAATCGTCCTGATATTAATACGTACTCATACTCGTCGTGGCCATCACAAGTGTCAAAAGTCATCACCGTCATCATCACCACCATCCTGGCTGGCATCATCACCTCACTGTTGTTGGTGACGCGGCGACGTCAAAGCCACGCGTCGTCATTATCATAACCATCGTCCGCACCCGAGTCATTACCTTCATGCTTTGTCCCATCATCCTCGGCACCGTCATCACGATGGAAAACAAGACGCGAACCGTTTGCGTCGTCACAGCCGTCGTCTCACCAATCACCACACTCATCACCACTATGGTCATCAACTCCGCCAATGTCGCCGTCGTTGGCGAGATGTTCCCGGAGAAGCCTCTGGGGGCATCTTGCCTTCGTGGGGTCCTTTTGGTACTCCCCCACCAACTTCAGGAGGGGGAAAATAATAAATAGGAGATCCCCAGAGCACTACGGAAATCACGGGAAGCTCCTGGAAGCCTCTGGAAGACCCTCTAGGGCACCCGATGAATACGTCCAACACTCAAACATCGATGATTGAATAGGCGGGTCCTTGTCCAACCGCCTCTCAGCGGCGGCCTGGGCCGAGCGGTCCACGATCTCCTGCTGCTGCAAGCGAAGCGTCCTGGCGCGCGCGCGCATCTCGCAGGCGCTCGGGCCACGTCAGTGCCCCACTGCTCCTCGCCACCCTCCTCGTTCTCGTCCTCGTCTTCATCGCTCCTCATCCTAGTCCTCAACATGCAATCGTTCGTCCGCTTGGTCATCGTCTTCGTCCTCCTCATCGGTACCACCAGCTCAATTATCATCTTTACCCGCTTCGTCAGCAGCATCATCACCATCGGCATCATCAGCGTCACCATCATCGTCCTCATCATGATCATCATCATCATCATCATCATCATCATCATCATCATCATCATCAGCCGTATCATCATCAGCACCATCAACATCATCATCATCATCATCATCATCATCATCATCATCATCATCATCATCATCATCATCACCATCATCATCGTCGTCGGCCCGTTGTTGTCGTCGTCGTCATTGTCCTCGTCCTCGTCCACGTCCTCGTCCTCGTCGTCGTCATTGTCGTCCTCGTCCTCGCCGTCGTCCTCATCGTTGTCATTGCGGTTGTTGTCATCGTCGTCATCGCCATCAGCAAAATAATCGCCAAAATGGAAGACGACGACGACGAGCCGCACCTCCCCTGAGGTGCGCCCTGGCGAGACTTTCGAGGAGGATCCCGCCATAGCGGCGAGAGCGCTCCAGGGTCGAGCCGCGCCTCGAGCTTCGAACCCCGATCGACGACGTCCGCACCGTGCGCACGGCGCGGAGTGAGCAGCGGTGGCCCTACGACGCGTCCTCTGGGTGTCTTGTGCCCGGCGCCGGCGGGCCTCCTCGCGGCTGGCCTCAGGGCGAGGGATGGGCACGAGCAGGAGGGCAAGCAGACGGAGGAGGAAGAGCAGGACAAATTCCGCGAAGAAGGAGGACGACGATGACGAGGAGTCGGGGGATGATGACGGGGAAGAGGAACAGGAGGAGGCCGAAAAGGAAAGGGAAGAGTAAGAGTAAGAGACAGATGCAGAGTAACAAGAGGATTCAGAGGAGGAGTATCAATGATGAAGAACCAGAAGAGGAAGATAAAGAAAGATAGAGAGAGAGAGACAGAGACAAACAGAGAGAGAAAGAGAGAAACGACTAAACAAACAGGAAAAACGGAGGAGGAGGAGGAGGAGGAGATGAAGGCGGGGCGGCAGCGTCTGGATGAGGAGGAGAAGGAGGCGGAGGAGGAGAGGAAAAGGGACAAGGAGGCAAGGAGGCAAGGAGGAGGACGAGGAGGGTGCGCACACCCCAGGGAGTGGACATCGGAGCCCGTGGAGGGCCGCCTGACAGGGGTCGAGCGGAAGGGCGGGCCGCACGGCACTCACTGGAGCAATCGGCCGCTGCTCTGCTCCGTTTCCGCCTTCCTCACCCTCGTCAGCATCGACATCATCGTCGTAGAATCGTCGCCACCACCACCAACACCACCATCATCATCATCATCATCATCATCATCATCATCATCATCATCATCATCATCATCATCATCATCCTCATCCTCATCCTCATCCTCATCCTCATCATGATCACCATCATCATCCTCATCAGCATGATCATCATCATCATCACCATCATCAAAATCATCATCATCCTCATCATCATCAGTCTCATCATCATCATCACCCTCATCATCAGTAGTATCATCATCAGCATCGTCATCATCATCAGCGTAATCAATATCATAATCATCACCGGCATCATCGTTCTCATCAGTATCATAAGCAGCAGCAGCAGCACTGGCATCATCATCATAATCAGCATTCTCGTCATCATCATAGTCAGCATCACCAGGAGCATCACCATTATCACCATCAGCAGCAGCATCACCATCATAATCCTCATCAGCATCATCACCCATCATCATCATCATCATCATCATCATCATCATCATCATCATCATCATCATCATCATCATCATCATCGTCATCATCGGAATCGTCATCATCATCATCAGCAGCAGCATCGTCATCGTCATCAGCATCATCGTCATCAGTGTCGTCATCATCAGCTTCGTCGGTAGCATCATCGTCGACATCAGCTGTACCATCATCATCAGTACAAACAGCATCATCAGCATCATCAGCATCGTCACGATCACCCTCATCAACATCAGCTGGAGCGTCAATCACCACCATCGACATTAGCATCACCATGATCATCATCATCAGCATCACCATCACCATCATCGCCATCATCATCACCATCGTGATCGTCATCGTCATCGTCACCGCCGTCGCCATCATCATCATCATCAGCATCATCATCATCATCATCATCATCATCATCATCATCATCATCATCATCATCATTAGCAGCATCATCATCAGCATAATCAGCAGCATCAGCATCATCAGCATCAGCAAATTCAGCTTCTTCGCCAGTAGCATCAGGACCACCACCATCATCGTCCTATGCCTCCTCGTGCTGCTGCTCCTGCTCCTCCTGCTCGCCTGCTCCCCCTGCTTTCCCCCACTACTCCCGGTGCCAACCAGCCAGCCGATAGCCACCGCCTCCAGGGGGGCCCACCCTGCCCGTTCAAAGCCGACGTGCCTGCTCTCGGCATGGACGTTTGGGCGCCGCCGCCGCAAGATGCGTGGGGAGGAGCGGGGCGGCTTTGGCACGGCTGCGAGACGTTTCTATCGGGGGTGGACAGAACCCCCTCTAGCAAAAGGCGGCTTCGTGAAAACGACCTCGGGCCCAAAACTGGCGGGAGCCGGCCTGGAAAAGGACGACCGCGGCGCCCCCCCCTCGAGAACCGAAAACGGACAATCCACTACTCGACGTGTCAGGGTGGGGGTGTCTGTCCAGGGCCGATTCTACAAGGCCCCCGCCCTTCCGGGTCGCACCCACCCGCTCTTCCCGAGACCGCAGTCCCTCGCGAAATGCGACAGGTTCGCGCCACCGAGCCCCAAATGCCTCCAAGACGGCCCAATACCGCTCCAAGGCGAGCCACGGTGGCCTCACGACGGCCCAAGATGGATTCAAGACAACCCACGAGGCCGTCGAGGCGTCCCAAGAAAGCCCCAAGAGCCATCCCAAGAGGGCGACGCGCGAACGGGCGAACATGTCGCTCTCACTCAGGCACCGCGCAAACTTCGCCTGAAAGTGGCGTTCCCTCCTCGGTGCGACGCATACTTGTCACTCGCCAAATTTGGGGGGGGCCGCACGAGCGGACGACTTCTTGCCTCGACCAATATCCGTGCACATGTCGCTTAAAAGCGGCGTTCCCTCGTGGGCGCGGCACATCTCCCGTTCGCTTGCCGAATCGCATGAAAGCGACAGCGGCAGCGGGACTGTGAGAGAGCGGGCGCTGTGCTGTCCTCGCCCAAGCGCCGCGCAGCTTGCGCGTGAAAGTAGCAGTGCTCTTCCGACGGGATGCATGCATCGTCTTCGCCGCTCTCATCGGAAGTATTGCCGCTCACGCGCTGCGCGGCCCGCGTGGCTTTCCTCTCGCCAAGCCGTTGGAAGTGGGACTGCGCGCGAGCGCCTTCCTCGGGAACGCATTCCAATCCTAATATCAAGCTGTGTCATTACAACAAAAGCACCAGAGATGGGGAAGCGAGGAAAGGGCGAAGTGCCATTTGGGAACCAAGGTCCCCCAGTATTTAAAGCAATGTGACGGGATGGGTTGGATGAGTAGTACCAGATATAGCGCGAGCACGCCGAGCATGCTATCAGATCTCTTCTCTATCATCATAGTTCTCCTACGTATCACCAGCATGGTCCGCATGTTTCCCCAGCTCCTCTCTCACATCAACTCTCTCCTCCTCAGCCTCCGCCTCGCCAGGGAGAAAGGAGGAGTCTGAGGCTGAGCTGAACTCGAGACGCTGAGATGCCCGCATAGAACATGTCGCTCATCGTGCCCCGCCTGCGCTCTTCGTCCTCCATCCGGCGCTTGGCATTGAGAACTTCCGCCTGGCCGCGCAGGGAGGGAAGGAGGAAGGAGGGCAGAGAAGAAAGAGGAGGAGGCGCCCGAAGGTCTCAAAGAGGAGGCGCCCGAAGGTTCCAAAAAGAGGAAGAAGGGCAGAGGAAAAATAGGAGGAGGAGGCAGGAAAAAAAGCCGTGCTGCACCCAGGGGACTGCACCCGTCCTGCGTGACGGAGCCGCATGGGCTCGGCAGGGCCTCCGCGGGTGCTCGCTTGGTGGGCGCCCGTGGGCGCCTCGTGGGCGCCGCGCGGGTGGCGGGGGGGCACGGCGAGGTATCGCCCGGTGCCCGTCCGTGGCCGCCTCGGGGGCGCCCCGCGCTGGGGGGGCACGTCGGGGGCTCGGCTGGTGCCCGACTGGTGGGCGCCCGGTGGGCGCCCGGTGGGCGCCGCGCGACTGGGGGATGAGCCGAGGTGGCGCCCGGTGCCCGCCGAGGTAGGCGCCTCGTGAGCGCCCCGGTGGCTTGCACTGCGTGGGTGGCACCACACGGCTGCCACCGCATGGCCTGCCCCACGCAGCTTGCACCACATAGCTTGCACCACGTAGCTTGCACCACGCAGATTGCACCGCATAGCTTGCACCGCGTGGGCTGCACCACATGGAATGAGCAGCATACCGTGCACAACATAGCTTGCACCACATAGTTTGCACCGTAGCTTACACCAAAAAGCTTGCACCACATAGCTTAAACGACATAGCTTGTACCACATGGCTTGCCCCACATAGCTCTCACCATGCAGAGTGCACCACGTAGATTGAACTACATGGCTTGCACCACACAGCTTGCACCACTGCACCACAATGCTTGCATGTCCACAGTGCAATGAACTACTGTCTGGGGCTAACGTGTGTCTAGAGAGATCTCAAGCCGCTAAGTAGCCAGTGTTGAAACTTGTCAGTCGACTTGCCCTTCGCCACATCAACGGCGAACAATACGTGGACCAAGCCTCATACAAGAATGGCTTCACCATCGACCCCCTCCCCCCCTGGTACCTCAAGAATGGCGGTTCGCTGTCGGTAAGGCGTGCGCCGACGCCGAGGGCAAGGCTTGCACTTTCAAGACTCGGACCACAAGCTGCGTACAAAGCATCCTGAGCATGTACACGTAGCACGGCTCGAGTGGGCAAGGCTGGAGCCGGCAGAGAAGCCGCGGCCCAGAGGGAAGCGACGGCAGCCGGCCAGGGGAGGCGGGCATGCCAGCTACCAGGCTGGGGCCACAGCAGCGCAGGAAATGCTGCGAGCGGCTGCCCAGGGCCGCAGTCCGTTAGCCCCAGCCCTGATGTCGCTGCCGCCGCCTCCTCTGGTGCTCCCCCCCCCTCTCCCTCATTCCCGTCCACCCGTGGGCGAAGCCTGCCACGAGCGGACTTGCATGAGAGCGCCCTGGATGTGCCGTAAGTGAATGCGGCGGTCGAAGAAAGAGATGCCTGCAGATCGCCGGGGATGCACTATGTGACAGCCGCCCGAGCCCCAGCAGGGAGGACCCTGGTTGGCGTTCAATTGGCGCCACACCGATGTCTTGCGAGATCCCAAACGCCACAACCTCTATCTCACGGATTTGCCTGGAGAGGTCGTCCTGATTTGTAACAGGTGCGGATATGTTCAAAGGCCTTCGCACCCATTTGCTGTCACAAAATTCATAGAATAGTGTCCCTCCACTCACGCCCGGTCCATTTGGGACCACTGCAGCAAAGGCATCAACCAAGACCACAAGAAAAGGCTGATCCAGGTGCTCTCTGAAATGCTGCCGGCGACGGCTTTCATCGAGCAGCTGGAGCTTCCGTATGGATGACACTATGAGGGTGCAAGTACGGAGAAGGAGGAATCGGAACTTTTGAAACTCTTCCTCCGGAAAGCGCATGACGCGTCCGAAACGGACGAGTAGCGACACTGCATGCGCTTCGCCCAAGAGGGCAAGGGCTCCCATGAGGGAGCTGAGAAGGAGGGGTTCTCGTAAACCACTTGAGCCGATGTTGTTGCTAGGCACTGGTGAGCATCAAACCACGCGCCTGCACTCGATGCAAGGCTGGGGCACCAAACAAGGCACACAGTCTGCAACTACTGGCGAGAACAACGCATGCCGAGAAGAAACGCACCGGACAACAGAAACGTAGCTGGCCTGCTGATTCCCGCGTCCGCCCCGCCGATGTATCAAAACTGATCGTGGCTACAATGTGCCACGGGGCGCAACACATAGAGGAAGAAGGCATGGGAGAAGCAGAACTGCCAGTGAAAACTCGCGGGCGCATGACCATAAGCAGCTCGCGTTGGCGTCCAGGCCGCCGACGAGGAGGAGTTCCGCTTAGCTCAGCTCGCCGACCTCCAGCGAGCCATCTCCGACGCCCACGCTCAAGAGGAGGGCCTCCCCACATTCAAGTCGCAGTTGGAGGCGGCCTGCCAGCAGCCGTCCAAGGTCCAGGGCATGCACCCCGACGCTCCCGCGGACGCCGAGGCCCACACTCGGGACCTTCTCCAGCGCACCAGGGCCTCACAGGACCAGCATGCTGCCAAGGAGGATGGCGGCAAGAACGCGCCGCGGCGCCACTCGAGGAAGAGCCCTCCTGGCATCCCACAAACCCACCGCCACGTCGGCAGCCCCTGTAGCCGCAGGAGAAGAAGAAGAACCAGGAGGCCCTCACCAGCCACTTCACCCTCCCTAGCGGCATCGCACGCAAGATGATCCCTCCGCGCCCAGGACCAGGGCCCCGAGCAGATGTACTCGCCATACCCCGAATCATCACTGCCGCCAGAAACACGACGATCAACGCCAGCCCGCTCACAAATGTTCTCCGCCGAAGGGGCGGCGAACAAAAACGAGTGAACTTCGCACGGGATGCGAATGGTTACTGCTACACTCCCACCCTCAGGCATGATCTGCAAGAGCCGCTGACGATCGGACGGACGGACGCTCCCATACGCGCCAGGGCGCGGTCCCTCTAGGAACGGCGCGGTGGCGCCGTGGCGCCGTGCATTCGCAAGAGAACTGAGGAAACAGATAGCGATTTGGCTTCGCCAAGGGCTATGAAGGGACGCGTGGATATTTTTTCCTTTTCAAATTTCATTTTAGTGGTCTCGTGCCGAACAGCGACAGATCTTATTGAACTGATCTGCTCAACAAAAAAACAAACGCGCACAAAATCCACTGCGGATGCCCTCAGAGGAAAACGAACAATGGAATGCTGCATAAACGGCGCCCGCGTTCCGCCCGCAGTCCAACTGCAGACAAAACCACAAACCAGCAGGTCCCGAGAAGGATTGCAAGCAGGCCCTAGGGTCCCAAGACAGGCTTTGTAGGGGCCCAAAACAACTTGCAGACCTGTTTCCTCGCATGTTCTGACGCGTTTCGGCCGTGGTCCGCGGGATTATACTGTTCATCCGCCTTTTTGCCTTCATTTCCGACGCCTCGCGTGTTTCCGCCAGCCAAGGCAAAAGCAATCGCCAGGCGAGTTGCCTCGATCAGCATGTGTAGCAGCATGCGGCGCCGCAGCGAACCGAATGTGTTTTCACTGGTTCTGTACGGGAGGAGGAAGAGGAGGTGGAGGAAACGACGGAACAAATATGGTGGCGAAGGACCAGTAGTAACGAAAGAAGAGGAACAGCAGAAGGATGGACGCGTGCTGGAGGAAACAGCAACATGCTAGAGCATCAGAAGGTCGGAAGGATGATGAGGGACCTGAGGGGGGGAGGAGGGTTACGAGGAGCCAGGGGGAGGTAGCAACCGCATTGGTGATCCGCGCAGAACACCAGTGCGCCGCATCCTTTCGCAAACGAGGATGTAGGAATGTGCCAGATGGGGAGGTGGGGGGGGCATGGGGGAGGTAGGAGGACATGGGGGTAAGAACGCTCAGGACGAAGCAGTTCCAGAGACGGTGCCCAGGCAAATTGTGTTCATCAGAAACGTGTGCCAGCATGGTGCTCAACCAAGAGGGCGACGCTGTCTACGTTAGAAACGTGAGGACGGCGCAGGAGGAACCGGAGGATTAACAGCAGCGGAGAAGGAGGACAAGGAGGAGGACGACGAGGAAACGGAGGAGGGGCGGGATGAGGACGAGGAGTAGGAAAAGGAAGGATGGGAGAGAAAAAGTCACGACGACGGCCAGAATCAATCATGGAGGATTTTGTTTGTTTTTCGCACACGGCTCTTGTTAGAAGCCCCTTGGAGTGATTTGTGGGCCATTGTGGAGCTAATTTGGAGCCATTTTGGGAGAGCCTACGGGGTCCTCTTGAGGCTGTTTCGGGCCTCCTTGAGATCCTCTTCGGGGTCTCGTGGGCCCGTCTTGGAGGCCTCGGGGGCCCTCTCGGGGCCATCTTGGAAACGCCGTCAGTCAAAGAGTACGGGGGGAGGGTCCTTGCAGCGTCCCCTCTCTGGAGCCGCCCACGTCGCCTCTTGGCGCTCTCTTGGGACGTTCTTCGGCTGCTCTTGAGCGCTCTCGGCGCCGTCTTGGGGCCTGTCGGGTTCTTCTGGAGGGCCATCTCAGGCCAGCGTGGCCATCTTGAGGCCTCAAGAGCCCATGGAAAACGAAAAGGCGGCGAGACATAACGCATAGCACGCAATGGCGTTCACTTTTTTTGTCTTGGAGGCCTCCTTGGAGAGCCCGAAGGGCACGCGGGGCCGTCTTGAAGCGGTCTTGACGACTCAGAGGCATGTTGGAGGCTCTTCGGAATCGTCCTGGGATGCATTGAGCGATATTGGAGGCGTATCTGGGCTCCTTGCAGCCATCTCGGATACATTTTGGGTCGTATTGGGCGCTCCAACGACCCGCGGCTACCTTCCCGCGCAGGAAGGACTGGGCGGGGAAATGGGGAACCGTGTCTATGAAGGGGAAGAGCGGGCTTGGATGAATTACTTCGTCACGCCGCTCACGCTTAAAGGGGTGCTGGGATTCCTGTTTCCCTCCGGCCCTCTCCTGTGGCGTGCCCCTCCACTCCCTGTGACTTCTCCCCCCCCCCCCGCCCTCCTTCCAGGCTCCGCGCGCGGCCTAGTGGAAACTTCGGGGAGAAAAACAAAAACTCGCTTTGAATACCTCTCCGAATTCTTGGTGGATTTTTCCTTGGGCGCGCGCATCGAAAAAACACGCGCGGAAAAATCCGGAGGACACCCGGAAAAATTCACGCGGTTTCCGGGGCAAATTCACATTTGGATTTGGAAAAATCCGGGCAGAATTCACTCGAGAATCCGGGATAGTATTCCCAGGCGGCCGTGGAAAAATCCCACCAGCCATGCAGAGCGTGGGTGGTGGTTTAACGGGCTAGCTTATCCGCGCGTTTCTCCCTGGCAGGGACGGGCCCCCCCCCCGCCCCCCCCTGGCAGGGACGTGGACAGAGAGTGACCGCGGGGCGGTGGAGTGCCCGAAATGGCCGAAGATGGCTCCAAAGGAACCGCAGGCAACCCAAGAGAGATTCCGAGATCGCTCCAGATACTTGCAGATGGTACAATTTTGCTTCCAATGCGCCTCCAAGCCCCCTCAAGACCGCTTCGTGACAGCCCACAATTGTCTTTCGAGCTCTTGAAGGAGGCCTCCAACAGGTTCAACTCCTTTACAATCACTGTGCGCTTCAATGTGTTCCTTCTCGCCTTTTTGCTTTCCGTAGTTTCTAGAGGCCTCGAGATGGCTGCGAGTTGGTTTGAACTTGCTTTGAGAGGGGGCCATCAGGGCCCAACTCGGCTCCAAGAGCACCAAAGTTGGGCCCAAAACGCTTCGAGGGCGTCGCAAGAGGGCCGCATTTGGCGACTGGGGGGCTCGAGAAAGAATGGGGCGTTGCTAGGGCCCCACTTCTTTGACCGACGGCTTCAAGATGGCCCCAGGAGGACCCCCAAGGCTTCCAAGAGGGACCCAGGAGATCCCCGAAACGACCCGAAGAGGGCCCCATGGGGCTCCAAGACAGCCGCCAAAGGCAGCCAGAATTGCCCTAAGAGAGCGCCGCGGCGGCACTGATATGACGACGTTGATGGGGCGTCCCGCAGGCACCTAAAGCGAACGACTCGAGATCCTCGATGATTGATGCCCGTCGTCGTCAGCGTGTTTTTTTTCCTCTCTATCCTTTATCTTTCCCTTCCTTGTCCTCCTCCTCCTCGTCCCTCTTCTGTGACCTCCTCCTTTTTTTCTGCCCCCTCCCCGTTCCTGTGCATCTTCCGATTAATTACTCCTGCGCCCTTTTCTTTTCCCGAATGTAACGGTTGTCCTCGTTTTTTTTCTTGCGCTGCACGTTGCTTCACTTCGCTGTCATGCTTAGCGCAACTTTCTTGGGATTCGAGTCTGCAAATGCTTTCTTCTGCATGTTCTTGCCCCTCCTATTTCCCCCTACTTCCTCCTGCTCCTTGATCCCCCCACCTCTTCCTACACCCTCGCTGGTGAGGGCGCGCGGCGCACGCGCGTTCCGCACGGATCACTGGTGCGCCTTTTGCCTCCCTCAGGCTTCTTGTGCTTCTTTCTACCTCCCCCAAGCTCCTCTCCCGTATTCCTACCTGCTCATGCTCTTGCGCGTTTCCAGTCTTTCCTATCACCATACTCCCTCTCTTCACCGTGTTCGTTATGATTTCCATTTCCGCCCTCCTCTCCTTTGCTCCGCTTCCTGCACCTCATCATCCGCGAATGCGGATGCGGCTCGCTATTTTCGCCGCTTGCCCGATTACCCGGCCTTGATCAGGGCGACTCGCCTCGCGGTTGTTCATGGATTGGCTCGTGAGGATTTGAGCAACGCGTCAATGACTTCACCGGGCGTCTAGGTGTCATTGTTGGCGCCTGGGCGTTGCCGCTGGGGTTTGCCACGGGCCAGTATGATTTACAATTGCAAGCGGCGCGTTGGCAGGCATTCGCCTTCCTGGAGACATCTGTCTGGTTTCGCAGTGACCTTCTTTCGCATTGCTCTTGTTTCTTTGCCTCCAGTTTGCGGTTGTATGTTTGTAGCCCTTGGCTGAGCTCCATCAGACGGCTATAATTCCGCTGCCCTCGCTCGATGCATGACCGTCCCCGTGCGATGAGGAAGAATCGAGGGCACTGAAGACATTCGAAATTCGCTGGCCACGCGGCATTCACACGAACGCCCGAGCCACATGATCGATTTACGTGCGCATATCAGAAAAAAAGGAAAATAAACATGAAAAACGAAGACGCCAATCCACGCTGAATTCACTCTTAGCACCGGCGAAACCAAAGCGATGCAGCGCGAGCGTGATGCAAGAAGGACCAGGGAGAAACACCACAATGGAAAGCAGAGAAACGGAGAGCAGACACGAGGAGCAGGAAACGACAAATCGCTGATAAACTAAACACGCCAGCTATACAGAACGTGCATGACTTCTGATCCGCATGTCTATACACAACACTGCAAAACAAGATTGTGTGACCCGCTCACAATGTTTAGCGTCTCCAGGAAGATGCCTGCATGATCCGCTTCACATGTAAGCTCGGGAAGTTAGAACCATGCACCCAACGTGTCGCGTCGCACGGCAAATCAGCTTCAGAGGACAAAATACTTATGGTATCACCATCGCTGTCGAGGGTGTGGAGGCCCTGTGCAGCTGCCGGGGGTGTGGAGGCCCTTCCGGCGCTCCTGCGCAACACAGCCCAATCGGCGACGGCGTGGCTCTCCGCTGTGCACACATACTGTGACGCCGGGTAGTCGTTGAATTCGTGCTCATGTGCTTGTTTCTGTCTCACATCATTCGTGCGGTTGGCAGCTCAATTTGTACAATTTGTTTCACATTTTCGCCACATGGCCAATGCACCTCTGACGTGCACGGCTTTCTTCTTCTTCTTCCATCGCTGTCGAACTCTATGACCTGCCCAGCATCTTCGTCTTCGACGCAATGCATAAACTGTCGCACGAGAGACAGCCGCGTATTGTGCATGCTGTATCGCTGGGCTGGACAGTGCCTGTACGCTCGCCGTCTTCCTCATCGGGCTCGAGATCCTGCTCCGCCCATGTGCGAAGTACAGTCAGTATAAACCATGATCGTGACCCCCTCGATGCTGAGAAGCGTATCATGGTCAGCATGTCGATCTGGGCCCACGTCGAAACGCAGCCTGCAAGGTTTCGATTAGCTCTCGTTTCATGGGGCGCATCGCCGAAACGCCTCATGGACATTTGCCTGGAGCGGTGTGGTGTTTCCTGTGTTGCCGCCGCACCTGAAAAAAAACTGCTCAATCATGCGCTGCCTGCCTAAAACGTCCGCGACGTCCTGGATGTAGCTACGCGCAGTATCCAATGTATCTGGATATCGCGGCTGCTGCTTTCAACCTTTGTACGTGCGTCGTGTAGTTCTCCATGATGTGATGGAGCTTCCACCTCGATTATACTCACTCGATCCGTTCGGGGCTCGATTGTCCGTCTGAGCTCCGCGGCCCCACACTCGGCACCCACATCCATTCATTTTGCATCTTCGCCCTCAGCAGCTTTCCGTCGTGACCAGACCATGGCTCACCAGCGTTCCGAGAATCTGGCAACAGCCGCAGCGGCCCAGCCACAGCCGCCGGCCGCCAGCCAGCCAGCCGCTGCAAGCGTCGCTGGGCTTCTCCGAGCGGGAGGGCCGCTGGGCAGTCAAAGTCGCGCTCGCCCTGGAACAGCCGCTAGGCCCGAGGCCTACTCACAGCTCGAGGATGTCGCGGGAGAAGCTGCGCGACCCCAACGTTCGCCAAGCTGTCGAAGCGGGTGGACGCGCGCGCCCTCGCGGACGAGACTCGGCACAGCATCACTCACGGCCCGGACGCCCACCGCGCTCTGCAGATGATCCAGCGCGCCGAGGACTGCCAGCGCAAGCTCTTCACGTTCAGAAGAAAAGCCTGGACCTCTTTCGACGAGATAGAGCCTCATCAAGAACACCCAGGGCATCAAAAACTTGGCAGTCTGGAATTTGGACGCCCGAAATGGGTACGGAAAAAATTGGTACAATGCCCAACAACAAATGTTGTCCCAAACCGACAGCGACCGCTGTTGGGCAGGCGGTTTTTTGTCTTCAAAGAACAACGTCCGCGGAGGCGCGAACAGCGAGTCCTGCTCAAAATGAACAGGAACTGCTGTTGGGCATCGTACCCATTCTTTCTGTACCCATGTCGATCGTCCTGATGGAGCCTCTCCCACTTCTTGCTCCACCTGGGCATGCCGCTGCGCGGCGTGGGCCCGTCGCGGCCGCCCGCAGCCAGGCGGCACGGCCCTGTCGGAGCACCGCCCGGACCTGTTCAACATCACCCGCCAGACTCGGACGCCACAGGGCGTCCGCAAGCACGAGAATCTCAACCGCGAGCAGGTCCAATCAATTCACTAAACCGATGAGATTTCGCAGAGATAGAAACGTCACCGAGCATCCGTGCTCGGTGGAGAGATCCTCCCCGATGAACGAGGTTGCCGCACATATCCCGAAACGCCCACTTCCAGTACAACCTCTCAAACCACTCGTTCGCGATTCCGCATGGCAACAGTTTTCACGAGTTCATCCCAAGAAGGGCCTCGGGCCCAATGGCATTGGCGCGGAGGTGCGGCGCGCAGGGAGAGACGGCGCGCTCGATGTGGTCATGCCCGCATTCAACCTAGCAGGCAAACTTTTCGACATTTTGAAAAAAAAACACGGCGACCCGCGAGCAGCGACTCCAACCAAGGCACCGTGGTCTCAGATCATCTGTCGAAGTGGCACTGCGCTTCAATCGACGAGCCCGTCTTTCAAGACGGACTCGACTTTCCTGGTCCTGCACAGTGGGCCTCTGCTCCAGGAAAAGACGCTACCCACACACACATACACACATACACACACACACACACACACACACACACACACACACGCAAACATACATACACACACCACTGCACCGCAAACACCTGCGAGAAGAAACCTTACCACACATTTCTCAATTTGGACCAGGCCTTCAACTCCATCATCCGTGGATACCTTTGCGGAATGGGCCGGCTACAGCTAACCGAAACTGCTGCAAGGGGTGGCCCCAGAAGATCAGTACGACCTTCAACATCATCCGCCACTCCCAGCGCCGAGCGCCGAGGGCCTGACTGGCACATCCGCAGTTGCTTTGCAGACGGAGGAGAGGGAGACGAAGTTGCACTCGCTCGCCGCGGAGCGGCGTCAAGGATGCAGGCTGGGCGCGCTATGCTTCAACCTTGGCTACGAGCTGGGCCCGGGGCGCGCGCGACGCCGTTTCGTCGACGACGGGTTCGCCCCGCAGCTGCCCACGCTCGATGTGCCCTGGGCCACGGCTCTCGACGACAAGCTCGGCGTGCCCGGGATTAGCGACACTCCAAACGAAGACGACGAGCACGTGGATGAAACGGTCATGTCTCAGCAACAATAAGACGACAGCCCCGACAACTTTCTAGATAAGCTGGGTAGAGCTACGGGTACTACTATTTCAAAAAAATCCCGTTGTTCGGTCTCGCCATCAACTTCGGGCCTGGCAAGCCGGCAGCCACGGTTTAGCTCTCCCGCCCTCGCCCACGTAAGCTCCGACAAGACTGGATAATGCGTCAAGGCAAGGGGGAGATCGTCACGCCGAAAGGCAGTGTCCTTCAGGTGGCCCATCACTCCCAGCGCCTCGGGACCACACTTGAAGACGCCAGGGGGCACCAAGCCGATGGACGCAGAAAGGCCTTCAAGTCCCAGCAAACCTTCGCGCCGCTGGCGGTGCCGATCTTTGGACCCTCGCGCATGCAGCCAGCCAGCTGACGACGAAGCCCATGCTCGAACAATGACTGCCTGATCCTGTCGCGAGCTCTCTACGCTGTGGCTGCCTGGAGAGTCCAGCTGGAGAAGGCTTGGCAATTGCTCGAAGCCCGGTATCACCGCGTCCTGCGCAGACTTAGCAGCACTCGGGGATCTTCTGACCGGGGTCAATCGAGACCCGGGTCAGCAGGAAACCAACAAACTGCAATGCCAGAAAAAAAAACTGCAACGCAGGTCTCGCAAACCCGGGTCAGCCAGTATGCGCGGCCGCCTCGCGGCCACGAGCGGCTCGCTAACCCGGGTCAGCCAGAGGGGTCTTCGCAGGATCCTGCAGGATCTGGTGCCCTGGCTGACCCCCGTTTTAGGGCGACGACATCTATACATATCCACTGCTCCCTGGCGAGGCCCATCCTGAACCCAGCAGCTGTGTATACGCTGCGCCCTCCTGGCGTGGCCAGGAGGGCGTATGCACAACTCCTGGGTTCAGGATGGGCCTGGCCAGGGAGCAATGGATATGTATAGACTTCGTCCCCCGTTTGCATTGACCCCCGTCTCAAGGCTCCCGAAGCACTATGAGACCAAGCGAGCCCGGCACCATCCCCGACGCTGCGGTTCTGGAGGCCATGCTGGTCCGCGCCCGCAGGCTCTCGGGCATCTGTTCGCAGCTGTCTGCCCCTGCTCTGGTCATCCATTGTCTTCCCGCGATTCCAAAGCGTCCACTTGCTGTTGAGATTGTTAAAAGCCCTGATGAGCTTCCAACATCTTCACCTTGACTGTTTCGCAAGTTTGGTAGAACCCCTGCTTTTCCAAGACAACGGAAAGAACAGATCACAGACCAGCCGAAAAGGTGGAGGCACCGATGTCATGAGTTCAGCGTCTGCCCCCATCCAGCCGAGCGCCCTGCATCCTCGTTGAGGCGATTGCGGGACAAGCAGGCGGCAGACGTCTGTCTCTTCGCGCCCAAGGACCGCCCCTCCCTTGCCCAACCTGCGGCAACCAGTGCAGATGAGCGAAGGGCTTGGCGACCCACCAACGCCATGCCCACGATGTCAAGAAGTAGGCGTAGTACTTCTTCAACCTGTGAGCTCACTGCCCGATCTGCCACAAGAACTTCCACACTCAACCTCGAGCTTGGCACAATTTACCATGTACGAGCAGACGCTACCGTGGACAACGAAGGCAGGCCTTTTACCCTCCACTCGGATAAAGAGGTGCTAGCAGCCGACAGAGCCAATGCCTCAGCACTTCGCGACACGGGAAACCGATGTAACACTTGCACTCGAGCCTGGTGTCCTCCGCTGGCGCCCGACGAGGTCCCCGCGGCTGAAGATCACATTCGCCCCAGAGGCCTACTGGAGTGCCCTCCGGAGGGCCTTTTGGACCCGCCGGTGTCTTAAGCGACTAAAAGGCCAAAAGGTCCGCCCCAAAGGCCTTTGAGCCCAAAGGCCCAAAGGCCCTCCGGAGAGCCTTTTGGTCCGCCCCAAAGGCCTACTGGACCCGATGTCTTAAAGCGCACGAAAGTTTAAACCGACCGCACTTTGGCGTTGGTCGTTGCTCCGCCGTGCTTTTCCGCGCTGGCGTATTCTTATCCGCCCCTCGGCCGGGCCCGCTGCCTCCTCGGGCCGGGCCCCCAGCAGAACTCCAGGTCCGCCTACAGCCAAGCCAAAAAATCATCTTCATCAGCATCGCTCATCGTGATCAGCATCATCATCATCATCATCATCATCATCATCATCATCATCATCATCATCATCACCATCATCATCATCATCATCATCATCATCATCATCATAATCATCATCATCATCATCATCATCATCATCATCATCATCATCATCATCATCATCATCATCATCATCATCATCATCATCAATTATCATCATCATCATCAGCACCATAATCATCATCATCCTCATCATCAACATCATCTTCATCATGATCATCAGCATCATCGGCATCATCGTCATCATCAACATCTTCATCAGCATCGTCGTCGTCAGAATCAGCAGCAGCGAATCATAACCATCGTCATCACCATCACCATCACCATGGCCATCATCAGCATCAGCACAATCATCATCATCGTCAGCATCAGTATCATAATCATCATAATCATCATAATCGTCATGATCATCACCATAATCATAATCAGGAGCAGCAGCAGCAGCCGCCAGCAGCCAGCAGCTTTTTCTTTTTCAGCATCATCATCGTCAGCATCATCATCATCAGCATCAGCATCATACTCAGCATCATCATCATGCTCATCAGCAGCATCATCAGCAGCATCATCAACATCATCATCAGCAGAATCGTTATCATCATCATCGTCAGCATCACTATCGTCATAATCATCATCATCATCATCATCCTCATCGTCATCAGAATCAGCATCATCATCATCATCATCATCATCATCATCATCATCATCATCATCATCATCATCATCATCATCATCATTAGCATCATCACGAGCATCGTCAGCATCGTCGCCGTCATCATGAGAATCATCAGTATCGTCGTCAGCACCACAAGCATCCTCATCAGCAGCAGCGAGATCATCATGGTCCTAACAGCCACCACCACCGGCATCATCTTCATCAGCATCAGCATAATAATCAGCATGACATTGTCACCATCATCGTCATCATCATCAGCATCATCATCATCCTCAGCATCATCATCACAATCAAGATCATCATCGTCATCATCATCATCATCATCATCAGCATCATCATCATCAGTAGCATCCCCTCCCTTCTTTTCTTCCTCCTCATCCTCGTTCTCCTCCTGCTCCCTCACTCCCTCCCTCCCTCCACAGGAGGTCCCCAAGAGTTTCCAGAGCCTCAGCGTTGTCAAAGGTTCCCGGACTTCCCATGCGAGAGAGGGACAGCGCTGCCAGAAAAGCTTGACTTCTCAATTCTCGAGCCTCGATTCTCGACGCTCCTCCTGGGCGCCCTCCCGCGCATGGGCCGAGAGTCCGAGTACAGCCCGAGAGGCCGAAATCAGAACCCAAAGGCTGAACATGACCACCAAACACTCGGTCCGCCTCCGTACTCCTCCCTCCTGGTCCTGATCCACATCCAACGTCCTCCCTCACAACCTTCTCCTGGTCATCATCACCAGCGTCATCACCAACATAGCCACCGAAATAACCATTATCACGACTACCGTCATCACCAACATCAATCATCACCTCAGCATCGCCGTCGTCAACATCATCAGCATCACCACCAACAACAATCATGTTAAGACTGTTCGCTCCTAGATGCTCGCGTGTCGTTCAACACGTATATCCCAGACCCTCGATACCCACCCTCTTCGTCTTCGATCTTACCTCCTTGGGGACACATCTTCCTTGTCTGCCACGTGTATTCGATAGGGGAAGAGAGGACGGATGGCAGGTGGAGGGAGAAGGATGGAGCACGACAGAGGTGAACCGGAGGGGGCTAGGAGCAGAAAACACATGGCAGAAAGGGCAGATCGGGCGGGTAGACCCTGACGGGCGGGTCGGGAAGGCGGGCCCAAGCGATCAGGTCGAACAGGCGGGCTGCTGAAACGTGAGTCCTGCATGAATCACGGGGAAGTCTCGAGCGATAGCGCGATTTCCAAGTAAATCGTGAGAGAGGCCAGTGCGAGAGCGTGATTCCTGAGTATCGAGGGCGCGGCGTCCGAATATTTTGCGAGGAGGTGCCACGCGAGAAAAGATTCCTGCACGAACAATGAGGAAGTCCCTCGCGAGAGCTCGATTTATTTTAATAAATTGTGAAGAACAAGCAAGCGGGAGCCGCTGCTGCTGTTGTGAGCCGGGGGCCAACAACACGATCTCAGCCCCAAGACTTCCTCTTGTAAGAAACAAAGTGCGATCCCCAGGAGGAGCACTTTTACTAAATTAGCAATGGGCAGCGGGGTATCAAAAAACAACATCTATTAAGAAATGAGGTTTCAACAACGTCATCGAAGCATTAACTATCATCATCCTCATCAGCATCACGGCTACGTCAGTCACAATCCTTCTCAGCATTATCGTGAACAACGTCGTCATCATCACCATCAGCTTCGTCACCAAAACCATCACCACCATTCATTATCCTCCTTCTCCTCCCTCCTCTTCACCCTCCATCATCCCCATCCCCATTCGCCTCCTCCCCCTCATCCTCCCTCCTCCCTCTTACTGCCCCTCCTCATCCTTCTCATGCCCCACCATTTCCCCCCTGGGAGGGCTCCGAGGGCAATTGAAGCCCTCAGGTGGAGATGCCCGAACAGCGCAGCTCTGGATCCACGACTTTCGATCCTCCACCCTCCTCGTCGCGCGGGAGCGGGAGGCGGGCACCGAGGTGGCCCTCATCTTCCCTCCTCGTCCATCCCCCCACCTTCTCCTCTTCCACCTCCTCGCCTTCCTCGTCCTCTTCCATCTCCTCGTCCTCCTCGTTCTCCCTCCCCCATCCCCCGCCCCCCCCCCTCCTGGCCATCGTCCTGATGCCTTCTCCTCCACCTCTTCCCAGGGGCCCAAGAAGTCCGTCACTTACATAAAACGGATGCGATTCATAAAAATGCGATCCATCGTGGACCCCAAACAGTAGGCTGATGCACTGTGGATGTGTGAGCTACGTGGCGAGAGCTATGTGATGTAAGCTTTGGGGTCCACTTTACGTGGTGCAAACTAGAGGCGGCAACGAAGCAACAAAGGCGGCAACGTGGCGAAACCTCGCTGGACCCATCCAGCGCACGTGGCGGCAACGAGGCGGTAACGAGGCGGCAACGGGCGGCAACGCGGCGAAACGTCGCCAGACCCACCCTCCCACGACAACTGGCGGCAACTTTGCGAAAATTCGCTGGACCCACCCAGCGCACGAGGCGGCAACGGGCGGCAACGAGACGGCAACGGGTGGCAACGTGGCGAAACCTCGCCGGACTCACCCAGCGCACGAGGCGGAAACGAGACGGTAACGGGAGGCAACATGGCAAAACCTCGCCAGACCCACCCAGCGCACGAGGCGGCAACGAGGCGGCAACGGGCGGTAACGTGGCAAAACCTAGCTAAACACATCCAACTGCTCAGTAACCACAATAAGAACCCCTAGGTGCAAACACTGTCTGGGAACAAATGCCTACCGCATCATAAATCTGCAGGGCCAGGACAGTCGCCAACCGTGAACTGACCGAGATGTTCGATCCAACTCCAGCAAGCGCACGCGATCTGCAAAGTCACCCGCCCGCGGGAAGGTCCTGTGTCACCCGCAAGCGAAGTGGCTCCATGTACGATAGTGGGTGTCGTTCGTCGACGAACAATTTTGCCTTCGGGGCTTCGTCTTGCCGGGCCGAGCGAAGGCCCGCGGTACAGCTTCCCAGCGGGCCCCGCCCGCAATCTCGACCCTCAGCGGCGCGCCTGCGACGGACATCCGCCTTCCTCGTCCACTGCCTCTCCGTATCCTGACCCCTCGGCAATCCCGGCGGGGAAAAACCCACCCCCGTTCTTCTCTGGCGGGTGCTGTTTCGGAAGATCTCCCCAGCGAGTTCCCCCACCAGGCCGACAACTTGCCTACTTCGAATATACACAGGTCTCCCAGAATCCCCCGTCTCTTCGGGATTGCCGCATGCGGCAGACAGATGAGCGCGCGGCTGGTGCCAAGGTCCAGTGTGACGCAAGCATGTTGCAACGAGATACAGAATACGCGGCGAGGCCGGTACCATGCACAAACACGCCAAGAGGCATCACCGCGAGGGCAAACGTCTACACTACACGGGCAAACTGCGCTGGGCAGCCACGATGACGCCCCACGGGGCGCGCGGAACAATGGGAAATCAATTCACCGGGAAGACACTACCATCGACGCGCGAATCACATGTCTGTCGGCCCGCTTTTACATCAAGCAACACGACGGGCCGAACACGCGCGCAACGCGTCGCGTGATGCCCTGGGTTTTCCCCTACCTCGGAGATCTCGAGCACGGACCCCTACCTTGGAGATCTCGAGCTCGGACCTCCTCCTCCTCGTCCTCGTCCTCCTCCTCCTTCTGCTCCTCCTCCTCCTCCTCCTCCTCCTCCTCCTCCTCCTCCTCCTCCTCCTCCTCCTCCTCATCTGCCTCCTCCTCCTCCTCCTCCTCCTCCTCCTCCTCCTCCTCCTCCTCCCTCCTCCTCCTCCTCCTCCTCCTCCTCCTCCTCCTCCTCCTCCTCCTCCTCTCCTCCTCCTCCTCCTCCTCCTCCTCCTCCTCCTCCTCTCCTCCTCCTCCTCCTCCTCCTCCCTCCTCCTCCTCCTCCTCCTCCTCCTCCTCCTCCTCCTCCTCTCCTCCTCCTCCTCCTCCTCTCCTCCTCCTCCTCCTCCTCCTCCTCCTCCTCCTCCTCCTCCTCCTCCTCCTCCTCCTCCTCCTACTCTCCTCCTCCTCCTCCTCCTCCTCCTCCTCTCCTCCTCCTCCTCCTCCTCCTCCTCCTCCTCCTCCTCCTCCTCCCTCCTCCTCCTCCTCTCTCCTCCTCCTCCTCCCTCCTCCTCCTCCTCTCCCTCTTCGTCCTGCTCCCTCCCTCCATCCCCATATGCATTCCCCTCCCTCTCCCCCTCCTCCTTCTCCTCCTCCTCCGCCGCCATCCCCCCTTTCATCCCTCCCCCCCTCCTCCTCCTTGCACCGGAGGGGGAGGGCGCGAAGGGTGGCCCAACGCCTGTCCCGGCAGCCCGATCGCGGTCGAGTAGAACGCGTAGTTCTCCTCCTCGGGGACATCGGCCAGCGTGGCGGGAGAGTTTTTTCGGAGGAGCGCCCAGGGAGGGGGAAGAGGTCTCCTCCTCCCTGTCTGCCTGCCTGCCTGCCTGCTTGCCTCCTCCGCCCTCTACGCTCTGCCCTCTGCCGCCTTGAACTTCTACCCTCGCCCCTTCTCCCTCATTTTTCCTTTCTTCTCCTCCTCCAGCGCACTCCTCCATTCCTTTTCCTTATTATACATAACTCCTCCCTGTTGCACCCCGAGGCCGGTCGGAAGGGAGAACCAGGCGTTTCGCTTGAGACTGTCCGACCACGTATGACCCTGAAGCTTCAAATTGGCAAAAAGTTTCATACATGGAGGGTGGGTCGCTTCCAAAATGTGGCTCTCGCTTTGGCGCCGCGCACATTCGTAATGACAAAAAGGCCAAAGCTCAACGGATTGGGGACAGGTTGCTATCTAAATGTGGTTCTCGCCTTAGCGCCGTGCACATTCGTTTTCAGAATTTGCAAGAGCTTCACGGATTGAGGACAGGTTGTCTTAAAAATGTGGTTCACGCCAGCCCCGCGCACATTCGTTTTAGAATTTGTAAGAGCTTCACGCATGGAGGGCGGTTCCTCTTTTAAAATGTGGTTCTCGCCCCAGCGCCACGCACATTCGCTTTTAAACAAATGCAAGAGTTCTGCGGGTTCTCACTGCAAGAAATGGCGCTTTGGAGCGATATAGGACTGTCAGGGCGCAACTGTTATGTTGATTCGCGGCGTTGAAGTCCCAAGAATGACGTTCTGGCAAGATTCAGGAACGTCAAAACGAAACAGTACGGTTGATTCGTAAGGTTGAACCAAGGCCCCGCTAACGGCGATGTCGGTAAACGGTGATGTTGGGAATCTGGTTTTAGCGACGCCGAACTCACGCAGAACAATTCCGAGGAAATCACGAACCACGCTCTCCTACGCTTCAAATGCGCAGCGACATGGCGAATTGTAGGAAAGCGCGAACAACGCTTTCCGAGAATTGAATTGCCCACGAACCAGCCCCACCTACAATACCGAAGCCTACACCGCCGTTACCTACGTCGTCGTCAGCGTGAAAGTCACAAGGACGGTGCTCTGGCAAGGTTCAGGAAGTTCAAACCGTTGCCTCCCAACAGGGCGCTTCCCTCAGTGGAAATGAACCCGTCTAGGGGCCTATGAAGAGGGAGCGTGGAGAGAGGGTTAATTGCAACATCGCTGATGAAACTTGGGATTACACTGGTCCTCCTCCTCCTCCTCCTCCTCCTCCTCCCTCACTCTTCCTCCTCCTCCTCATCCTTTCATCTTCTCATGTACCACGCCCAACAGCGTCAGCCACAGAGGCCAGACCGCAGGTCAACCTCGCTGGGTGGCGCAAAAAGCAACCTACGCCACCAGCGAAATGTGAGGGGGAGAGATCCCAACCAAAGGGTGGCGCGGGAGCCACTTCAGCCACCCGGGTGAGGCCTCCACAAGGAGCTGAGCTCCTCAGCCCCCCAGCCCTCTCCGAGGGCTGCAACAGCCTCCTTGCGAGCTTGACGGGCCTGCTGCCGGCAGTCTACACGTCGTTCATGGCTAATCGTGGTCATTTCTAACTGTGCTCGCTTCTAATTGTTCCTGACCCCCTACTGGCCAGGAAGAGGCCCAGGATAGAACAATTAGCAATGAAAGGATCCTGGCCCCCAAAAATCAGAGAACCTTCGATACATTAGAAGTGAACCATGTGTATCTCCTGGCACGTACGATCAGCCTGCGAGGCGAGGCGCTCCGGGGGTGAACCGGGGACCGCCACACCAAGCCCACCGACAGGCACGTCGAGAGCACACGGCGGCCGCGAGGCCGGCATGCGTGGAAGCGCGGACGGGCCCGATCGTCCAGCCTCGATGCTGCGGGGCCCACCCAGGGAACAGGCCACTGGCGCCTCTCCTAGGGGGAAAACAAACCTACCTCGCTTTTGACCACCCTCGCTTCCAAGAGATACCAAACGATGCCAAATTGCAGCCTGTACTGGTCAGGCCGCTTGACGAGGAGGCGCGTGGTATGGCTTGGTTTTGCCTGGAAGCGAAAGCGGGGTAGGTAATTCACGCTCTGATCTCCCCCTCTCCGGATCGGGTGGGGGGCATCGAGCTGGACCTGAGGGTATGACGGGAGATCGCGCTCGTGGTACACTCCCACGGGGTGGGGGGTCCCTTAGCTGCACCCCCTTTGGACCTCCCCTGCCGGGAGCCCCCCCCCCCCCTTCCGCTTTCCCCGCCTCTCAGAAGCTCCCCCCCCTCTCCCTCGTTTCGCACTCCGGCAGCTCCCCCCCCCGCCCTTCGCCCTTTTCAAAGGGGGGGCTGAGCTGCCCCCCCTGGACCCCCCCTGTCGGAAGCCCCCCCCCCCCCTCGTGTATTCTGCCGCCCCTTGGAAGCTGCCGCCCCTTGCGCGCTCTGGAAGCTACCCACCCCCTCTCCCCCACTCAAAAGAGAAGGGGAAGAAACCAAAGAGGCGCCGAAAACCAAAAAAGGCTCCGAAAACAAGCGGGGCGCCGAAAAACCAAAGCCGAAAACCAAAAGGGCGCCGAAAACCAGAGCAGCGCCGAAAACCAAAAGGGTACCGAAATCCAAAGAGCGCCGAAGAGCAAAGGGGCTTCGAAAAACCAAAGGGGCGCCGAAAACCAAACGAGGCGCCCAAAACCAAAGAGACGCCGAACACTAAAAAAGGATCCGAAAACAAGCGGGAGGCCGCTAACCAAAGATGCGCCGAAAACCAAAAGAGCGCCGAAAACCAGAGCAGCGCCGAAAACCAAAAGGGCACCGAAAACCTAAGAGCGCTGAAACCCAATAGGGCGCCGAAAACTCAAGGGTCGTCGACCTTGAAAGGGACGCCGAAAACCAAAGGGGCGCCGAAAACCAATCGGGCGCCGACAACCAAAGTGTCGCCAAGCACCAAAAAGGCGCCGAAAACCAAAGGGCGCGCAGAAAACCGAAGGGAGCGCCGAGAACCAAAGGAGCGCCGAAAAGGGCGCCAAAAACCAAGGGGGCGCAGAAAACCAACAGGAGGACGAAAACAGAAAAAGCCGACCACAAAAAAGGCGCCGAGAACCAAAGATGTGCCGGAAACGAAAAGAGCGCCGAAAACCAAAAGGACACCGAAAACCAAAGGGGCGCCGAAAACCAAGAGGGCGCCGAAAACCGAAGGGGCTCCAAAAACCACAGGAGCGCCGAAAACCAAAAGGGGCGCCGATAACCGAAAGGGCGCCGAAGCTGAAAGGGGCGCCGAAAACAAAAGCTATGAAAACCGACAGGGCCCCGAACAAAAAACACGCCGAAAACCAAAGGGGCGCCGAAAACCGAAGGGACCCCAAAAACCATAGAGAAGCCGAGAAACAAAAAGGCGCAGGAAACCAAAGGGGCGCCGAAAACCAAAAGGAGCGCCGACAACCAAAAGGGGCGCCCAAAACCAAAGAGGCGCTCCTTTTGGTTGTCGGCGCTCCGAAAACAAGCGGGGCGCCGAAAACCAAAGATGCGCCGAAAACCAAAAAAGCGCCGAAAACCAGAGCAGCGCCGAAAACCTGAAGGGCACCGAAAACCCAAGATCGCCAAAACCCAAAAGGGCGCCCAAAACGACAGGGGCGCCGGAAACCAAAAGGGCGCCGACCCCCCCCCCCAAAAAAAAAATGCCGAACACAAAAAAGAGCGCCGACATCCAAAGATGCGACGGAAACAAAAAGAGCGCCGAAAACCAAAAGGACACCGAAAACCAAGAGGGCGCCGAAAACCAAGAGGGCGTCGAAAATCCAAAGGGGCGCCGAAAATCATAAGGGGCGCCCAAAACCAAAGAGACGCCGAAAACCAAAAAAGGCTCCGAAAACCAGCGGGGCGCCGAAAACCAAAGATGCACCGAAAACCAAAAGAGCGCCGAAAAACAGAGCAGCGCCGAAAACCAAAAGGGTGCCGAAAAACACAGAGCGCCGAAACCCAAAAAGGCGCCGAAAGCTAAAGTGTGCGCCGAAAAGCAAGAGGGCGCCGAACATCAGCGGGGCGCCGAAAACCCAAGATGCGCGAAAACCTAAACATCTCCGAACATCAAAGGGCGCGCAGAAAACCAAAAGTGGCGTCGAACGACCAAAGGAGCGCCGAAAACCAAATGGGCGCCGAAAACCAAAAGGACGCCAAAGGCCAAGGGGGCGCCGAAAACCAAAGAGGCGCCGAAAACCAAGAGATGCCGAGAACCACAAACACTCCGAAAACCAACGGGGCGCCGAAAACCAAAGAAGAAAAGTAGCTTCGAAGCACCCCTTCAGCCAGGGCCCTCCAGCTGAAAAAGCCAACAGAAACTCCACCCCCCCGTTTGAAAGGGAAGCCCGGGCTTACCCCGGGAAAAGGACGGGAGGGGGGGGTTAGCTTCCAAGCCCCGCCCCCTTTAGCCAGGGACCCCCCAGCTACAAAATCCAAACAAAAGGAAAGGGGGGGTAGCTTCAGGAGCCCCCCCCCCTTGCTTTGAAAGGGGAGCCTGGTCTGACCTTGGGCTCTGGAAAAAAAGGGGGTAGCTTGGAAGCCCCCCCCTCACTTTAGCTAGGGCCCCCGACCCTCGGCACTCGATTTTCGAAACGTCAACACCTCGATCCTCGACCCTCGACCCTGGATAGTCGATCCTCGAACCTCGACGTTGGGCCATTGAGCGCCGAGCTCCTGGAAAGCCTTCGCGGCCTGCAGCCGCCGCCTGGACTCCTCCTTGGCCAGAGCGTCGGGGTCCTGGCGGCACGCAGTGGCGGCCAGGACAGGAAGGCTCGGAGCAAAGCAGGAGGACGCCGAACACGGCAGGATATCCCGACTCCGCCTCGGACCCCAGCTCGGCCCCTCCCTCCTCGGGCGGACCCAGGGGGGGCCGACGGCTGTCAGAGGGTCCCCTCGGCAGGGCTCGCGGTCCTCGGGCGGGTGGCAGTGGAGGGTGGCCCACATGGGGGGGGTGAGGAGAACGTCCCGAAGGGGCCTCGAAGGACCCCTTCAGGGCCCGTTTCCCCCCCCCCCCCCCAATTTTGGCCGCTCCCCGTTGCCACCCGCCCGAGGTCCTCCCGCGCGGACCGCCAGCCTGCTCCTGCTGGGTGGCGCGTGGGGCCGCTGCCCCGCCCCTCGGGGGCGAGTGGGGTGTCCTGGGGGGCGCGCTTCGCCCGGGCCCGAGGCGCGTTGAGAGGGGGGGCCTTTGTCGTCGACGTTCGTCGTTCTGCAGACCTTCCTGTAGCTGCTGGCTCCACTAGTGCGTCGACGCTGCGTCGAACGTCCGCCGACTTTGAGTCGAGCTCGAGTCGAACATGAGTCGACTCTGAGTCGGATCTGAATCGAACTGGCATCAAACTAGGATCGAAATAGAGCCGAACAGATCCACTTGGTGGGCCCCAGGGAGGTCCCCATAACGAGCATCTAGCTAGTCGGTGTAAGTGCTCGCCCCACCTGAAAGAGACGCCAAGTGCAAGGTTCGGCAAGCCCCTGGCCACCTCTAGAGGCAACACGTTGCATGACGCCTTCGCCCGCTCTCGAGATCCGACGCCGTGAAAAAGTACAACGTCGCAGAAAGTCACGACTGGAGCTCCCGACCCCCTCCCTCTGTGGTGTTTCTCGGGCCGGATCCATAGATGAGAGTCCTGGGGCCCGAAGACGGGGCGGAAACGCCCGTCCTATGCTTGACGATGCCCAGGTCTGATGGTTGGCTGACGCATTCGGGGCCGACGAGGGCCATAAGATCTAAGGCGCCTGTATTCGTGTTTTGAGCTTCGCGCGACGCACGGTCATCCTCGCGAGTTCGTGCTGCTTCCCTTGGTTGAGGCGTCCGAGGAAGAACGCCTCTCCAGTCTGGACAGCGGAGCGGGAAGCGCGACGCGCGATTATCTTGGCGCACATGTGGGCGATATGAAACGGAAGTACTAGCCAAAGGTGTGGGACACCCTGTTTGCTGATCAGAACGGTGCACTCAAACACCGAACCAGTACTGGGACAACATTGAACGAATGGCTGCGCATAGGCCCCCCCAAAGCCCGAGTCTTCCGCGTGGGAGCCGTCTGCAGGGTGAGGTTGGCTTCTGCGCACGTACATTTACCCGTGGCAGAGCGTCATAACTACATTAAATGCGACCATGAAGCACGTGGTGACCCTCTGTGATGTCGCTGCGGATGGGCGCATAGCGGAGACCCCAGAGATCAATCCCCCCTTCCTTTCTCCACTTGACTCCACCCCTCATCCACCCGCTTCCCTATTCCCACCTTCATATTCTCCCCGTCCTCCTTCCTCCTATTCCCCCCAGCTTTTCCTGCCCCTTCCCCCCTGATCCTCACTCGTTAGCCCTCCCGTATCCGTCCTGGTACCTGCTTTTGCTCGCGTCTACACGTGACTTTCAGCGAGCCCAGCCGCCCTCCAGGGGCCCGAGCCCGGGTGACCCACATCGCTGCATCCGCATCCGCATCCGCATCCTCCATCATTTGACTCACCTCCGTAACCCTTCCTCCTGCCCCCTGCCTCTAATCTGCCATGTCCCTTGTACTGCTCCTGAAACCTCCTAGTCCTGTTACGTACTTAAACTGATACTCCGTCTCCCCCTCCTCGCTTTCATCGTCGTCGTCACCATCCTGCCTTTTCCTGCCCCTTACTCCATGTTTTCTTCCACGCCCTCTCCTCGTCGGTCTCCCACTCCTCTTCGGCCTCGTCCTCCCCGTCCTCCTTCTCCTTCCCCTCCTCATCCTCCTCCTCGGCCTCCTCCTCCATGTTTTTCCTCCTCCTCCTCCTCCTCCTCCTCCTCCTCCTCCTCCTCCTCTGTCTCCTGACACCTTCTGACATCTAACAACCACAAGCACCGCGACGATGGGACACCGTTTCATCCTCCTCCTCCTTCTCCTCCTCCTCCGCCTCCTCCTCCTCCTCATCTGCCTCCTCCTCCTCCTCCTCCCCCTCCTCCTCCTCCTCCTCCTCCTCCTCCTCCTCCTCCTCCTCCTCTTCTTCTTATTATTATTAGTATTAGTAGTATTAGTTTCCTCCTCCTCCTCCTCCTCCTCCTCCTCCTCCTCCTCCTCTCCTCCTCCTCCTCCTCCTCCTCCTCCTCCTCCTCCGCCTCCTCCTCCTCCTCCTCCTCCTCCTCCTCCTCCTCCTCCGCCTCCTCATCCTCCTCCTCTGCTTCCTCCTCCTCCTCATCCTCCTCCCTGGATGGGAGGAGGGATTGTCAAGGGGGGACATCCGTCGCCTGGGGAAACCCCAACTCGCAGCCTATTAGTGTGGCTTGCTACCGAGGGTAGACCCTGGCTAGCAACCCACAAGAAAGTCGAAGCAGGAGTGGCGCTCTTCATAGGGCATGGCCCGCACGCCTGCAGCGGTAGCCCCCAGGGGACACTGCGGAGGGGATGGGATAGGAGAGGGGTGAGGCCAGCGGAGTTTGCGAAGGGGGGAGGAGGAGGCCACAGCAGAAGCAGAGTGAAGTGGAGCAGCGCACGATGACCTCCTGATGGAAAGGAAGACAAGGCAGGGCAGCAGAAAAGCTGGGGTAAGGCTACAGCAGACGTAGAGTGGAGGAGCGCACAGTGACCCCCTGATTATTTGATGGGCTAGCGTTGGCATGAAGTTGAGGGGATCGATAAGAGAAGTACGGGCGCAGGCATGGAGGCAGAACAATACAATTGGCTGGCATTGGCAGGCGGTACCAACCACCCCTGCGATAACCACGGCCCTAGCGTAAGCAAGTGCGGCGCGGAGGATGCCCGGAATCTTGCCGTGATGTTGAATCAGACTGGCTGAAACAACGGACCGCGAGCTAGCTGGGCATTCAGAGCACAGCCTTAGCACAGCAAAGGCGGCCCGCTCGCAGTCCTGGCAATTTGGTCAGTGGTCATCCTCCTCCTCCTCCTCCTCCTCCTCCTCCTCCTCCTCATCCTCCTCCTCTTCCTCGTCATCATCATCATCATCATCATCATCATCATCATCATCATCATCATCATCATCATCATCATCATCATCATCATGTTCATCGTCATCATCATCAGCATCATCATCATCAGCAGCAGCATCACCATCATCATCAACATCATCAGCAGCAGCATCATCGTCATCATCCTCATCATATTCAGCATCATCATCATCATCAGCATCATCATCATCATCATCATCATCATCAGCAGCATCATCATCAGCATCATCCTCGTCCTCCTCCCACGTACTTATCCTCCTTCTCCTGATCATTAGCATCATCATCAGCCTCAGCATCATCCTCATCATCAGCATCGTCATCAGCATCACCAGCATCAGCAGCATCATCGTCACCATCAGCAGCGTCATCATTATCGTCGTCATCATCATCAACAGCATCATCAGCAGCATCATCAGCAACAGCATCATCATCAGCATGCCCTCCTCATCATCATCATCCTCTTCCTCCTCCTCCTCCGCCCTTCCTCCTCTTCCTCTGCCTCCTCCTCCTCCTCCTCCTCCTCCACCTCCTCCTCCTCCTCCCCCTCCTCCTCCTCCTCCTCCTCTTCCTCCTCCTCCTCGTCCTCCTCCTCCTTCTCCTGCCCCTCCTCTTGCTTCTTTCTCCTCCTCCTCCTCCTCCTCCTCCTCCTCCTCCTCCTCCTCCTCCTCCTCCTCCTCCTCCTCCTCCTCCTCCGCATCCTCCGCATCCTCCTCTCCTCCTCCTCTTTCTCCTCATCCTCCTCCTCCTCCTCCTCCTCTTCCATGTTCTCTGCCTCCTCCTCCCTATTATGGTATCGTCATGTTCCCCCAAACCTCCTCGTCTCACTCCCCCCTGCCCTGCCCCCGTTTCTCCCCCACCGTTCCCCCCCACCCACCCACCCACCCACAAGAAAAAACCTGCTGCATTACCGAAAGCGCCGCCCCGCGCGAGCTCCGCCACTGCTCCGTACCCCTCCCGTCCTTGTTCAGCGAAGACTGCAGGTCGCGCCGCTCTTTCTCTGCCTCTCGCAGGGAAGGGGAGCAGCGTGGAAGATGAGTGCGTAAACATCCACAAAGACCAAACACACGACTACACAAACAAAACACGAGGACGCGGGCCGCCAGGCCTGCCTCCTTCGCCTTGATCCTGTCTAGGAGGGCCCGCATCCTCATCAGGAGGATGAGGAGCAGGAGGAGGAGGAGAACGAGGGGAGGAGGAAGAGCAGCAGGAGGAGGAGGAGGAAGATCGAGGAACGAACACCAAGGTTATGGGGGATCATTGGGAGTCCTTCTGGGCCTCGACGGGCCTCCGAAGCCTCCGCAGGCCTCCAAAGACCTCCAGGGGCCTCTGGAGGCATCTGGGGCCTCCAGGGCCTCCGGGAGGAGTGCAACGAGGACGACGGGGAGAACGACAGGGACGAGGAGCTATAGTAGAGCAGCGGCAGGGATCATAGCAGCAGTGGCGGTATCCATGTCCATCGTGGTAGCAGTAGAAGCAGAATGTAGCAGCACCAATTGCAGCGGGCCGCCGATCGCGCAGATCTTTCTAGAAGCAATAAGGAAGACTGGCGCCCGCTGTGAGCGTGTCTGGAGGCGCCGCTGCATGGGCCCCGCGACGCCCCGGGCCACTCGGCCAACCCGCCCGGGCCGTGCCCCCCAGCGCCCCGCCGCCCACAAAGGAACGGCATCACCGACCAGGCCCCATAAGCCCCCCCCTCCCCCCCCCGAACATGCACTAAGCACAAGTGCTCAAACTTCAATCTCGGTTTGAAATTCGAACGCGATGCACGTGGGGTGTTTGTCTTGGCAACGCAAGAACCCGCCGCGGGCACTGTGTTTTCCATCGCTTCGGCAGCCCAGAGCTGTCGCCACCGCTGGGTCCCACGGCGAGCGAAGCAGGGGAGCGGGGGCCCTCCCCCGATTGGTGCCCCACCCCCCTGCTGTCGGCGCGCACGAGGGGCAGGCGGAGGGGGGAAGGCGTCTTAGAAGGAGGCTGCCTCTTAGATGAGAGCCCTGTTTCTGCAGAAGGAGCCCTGCATCTACAGATAAGGCCCGCGCCTGCTAAGAAGCAGGGGGGATTCTAAGAAGCCTTCCCCCCTCCCCCATACCCCTCTCTGCGCGTGGCGGACCCCTGGCGTACCCACCCCAAGACCACACGACGCTACGGGCCCCCAGACTGGGCCCCACAGGCCCCCCGCCACGCCACGCCCGTGCTCCCCGACCAGACGGAGCTGGAGGCGAAGGACAGGATTGTATGATGCTTCTTCTGGGGGCGCCCGAGAGGGGGGCGTCCAAGAGGGGGGGTTGCAAATCATGGCCCTAGGCATGTGCGCGGCCCAGAAGGACCAAGGGACGCATTAAAATCCGCCGACCCTGTCGGCGTGTGGAAGAGGCTGTTCCGTTTGACTCGTCGTCGTCGTCGTGGTCGTTGTCGTCGTCGTCGTCGTCGTCGTCGTCGTCGTCGTCGTCGTCGTCGTCGTCGTCGTCGTCGTCGTCGTCGTCGTCGTCGTCGTCGTCGTCGTCGTCGCCTTCGCCGCTCCCCTACCCTTTCCCTAGGCCTGTCGCCGCTCCCCCCACTTTTACCGGGCCCTCCCCCTCGAGCACGCCAGCCACAGCGAAATGGAGCAACGTTGCAGTTGAGTCGAAGGGAAGCCCCTTCCCTTTGATCCCTTCCCCGCCGGGGAGGGAGGGTCCCAGGGGGTTCCCGGGGGGGGATCCGGAGGGGGGGTCCCGGAGGGAGTCGCCACCCAGATACGACTCCCCACTGGGCGGTTCGAGGGCCTAGAAAAGCCCCAGGACGCGGCAAAAGGGGCCAAAGATACCCCCAAGACGGTCCTCGGGGGCCCCGAATCGCCGAAGTAACCCGTCCAAGTCGCCAAAGTAGCCTCGAGACGGCTCAAAAGGTTTCCAAAACGCCGCAAGAGGCCTCCAAGAGGACTTCCAATAGGGCCCCAAGGGGCAAAAATCATAGATTTCCCTGTCTGGTTTTTTGGAAGGTTTCGGCATTCTCGCCTTGTCAGCTTCCCGACGCTCCAAGACAGGCCAAGAGGCCCCCAAGACCGCCCCAGGATGGCCCAAGAGGCCTCCAAGAGGGCCCCAAAACGGCTCAACAGGGCCCCAAGACCACCCAAGAGGCCTCCAAGACAGCCGAAGAGGCCCCCAAGACGGCTCCAAGAAGGAGCCCAGACGGGGGACCCGAACGGTAATTTCGAGCCCTCGACCTGAGAAGCTCCCAGGAGGCCTCCAAAGGCCCCTAACAAGCCCCGCCAAGAGGCCCCAAGAGGCCCCCCAGAGACCCCCAGGAAGCCCAAAGAGGCCCCCACGAGGCTCCCAAGCGGCCCCCAAGAGCCTCCCAAGAGGCCCCAAAACTACCCCCAAGAGGTCCCCGAGAGCGCTCGTCGTCGTCGTCGTCGTCGTCGTCGTCGTCGTCGTCGTCGTCGTCGTCGTCGTCGTCGTCGTCGTCGTCGTCGTCGTCGTCGTCGTCGTCGTCGTCGTCGTCGTCGTCGTCATTCAGGGGTGGCGGCACCGGCCGTAAGGCCTTCGCAATAGGAAGATGCACCATGAAGTCTGAGGAGATATCATGGTCATGGCCATGATACCCCCCTCCTCTGGCCATCACCCCACTCTTGGCCGCCCCCGATTCTTGGTCTCCGAACGGTAGGTAGGCGCCCACCCCGAAACCTGCACAGTCGGCCACATACGGACCCAGCGGCAGCTTTCCACTGCCACCGAGGGCTCTCACGAGTTCGAATGCTGCCTGATCACTCATGTCCTCTTCAAGTACGTCGTAGTCTGGACCACCCACGGTCACGACTCCGTTGCACATGCTGGTCACATTACCCTCGCACGCACCCGCGTCCTTCACGAATGCCCTCCAAAGTATTTTGGCCCCTGGACCCGTCGGGAAGGGCCACCCGCCCGCTACCCTTTGCCAACGGGGCTGGCCCCGCGGGCCCTGGGGGCGCTGCGCCAACAAGCGCCCTGGAGTGAGGGATGACAAGAACGACCCTACCTTGGGTTACAAGTGCGTGTTCTGTAAACCTCCTGGGAACTCTAAAACCCTAGAGAGCCGCCAGGGCGCCGCACATCACGCAGGGTTTACCCTGTCAGCCCACAGGAGGTTCAGCGCACAGCGCCTTGTAAACCAGGGTAGGGGCGTTTCTTGCGCCCTTGAGGAGCTGAGCAGCGCCGGCACCAGCGAGAGGATGAGTGCGCCGCATGCTGCAGCCGACCGCCTCGCAGGAGCAGGGGCCCCCGCTCTGACGCCCAACGGCCTCACGCTTGCCATGGCAGCCGCGCTCCCGTGCGGGGGTTGTCTGGGCAGCGGACCTCCGCCCGCCTCGACGCCCTCGCCGCCCGACGCCGCGTCGGAGAGCGCGCCGCGGACGAATCAAGCTAGAGCAGGCGTTGAGCACGCAGCTGGCCACGACCTGCGCGGCTGCCCAGGAGGCGAGGCCTGGCCAGAGCATGCAAGCGAACGGGGATGGCCGCGCGCCCCTCCTCTGGTGCAGCAGAAAGGCCTCGGGTCAGAAAACGGCCGCGGGTCGGACGATCAACGCTGTGCGACGCGCTCTCGGGATGACGAGGAGGACGGGAAGGGCGAGCAGAAGGAGGAGATAATGCATGGGAGGAGGCGGTGGGAGGAGAAGGCAGGAGGAGAGAGGGAGGGACAGGAAGGCTGGGAACCTGGCAACCCCAGAGGTACCCGCTGGCGGAGGTCTCCAGAGGTCCCCGGGGAGGCGTGCGGAGGTCCCTGAGGGTCTCCGGAACCCCTGACGACGATGATGACGACGACGACGACGACGACGACGACGACGACGACGACGACGACGACGACGACGACGACGACGATGGCCCGCGGCCCGCCTCGAGGCGCAGGAGGGCTTTCTCCTTCTGCCGGTTGCCCTCGGAGATCCGCAGCGACACGTCCAGGGCATCCCGCTCCAGCTCCCGGCGCCGCCGCTTCTCCTGCGGCGGCGGCCCCCGGAGGCCCTCAGCGGCACTCGGCGGCCATCGGCGGCCTTCGGGGGTCTTAGACGACCATCTACGGTCGTCGTCGTCGTCGTCGTCGTCGTCGTCGTCGTCGTCGTCGTCGTCGTCGTCGTCGTCGTCGTCGTCGTCGTCGTCGTCGTCGTCAGGGGTGGACAGAACCTCCTTTAGCAAAACGCCCTTTAGTGTAAGCTACCATGGGCGCTCAGCGTGCGCACGGCACGGCCTTCAGAATGGACCCCAGCGGGGTAGCTAATCGACGTCAGGAAACAGCTGAATATATCCGGCGAAGCGCACGTCGATTAGCGAAAACGGACTGAGGACTACACCGGCACACTTGAATGACAGTGTCGAGTGAACCAGCGCAGATTTCCTCGGTCGACTTGTCGTGCTCTCTCAATGCCCGAGGGCATCGGCGGCCTTCGGCGGTGTTAGGCGACCATCTGCGGTCGTCCTCGTCGTGAGGCTACGGCAGACGATTCGTCAAAGGAGGAAGAAGATCGGGCGCGGCCTACCCGACCCTTAGCAAACCATCCCCTTCCGTGACGTCACCCTCGTCTTTCAAGCTTGCCTCAGGCCGCATATATATATAGAGAGAGAGATCTACACCTATCTATATGTATATATACATACATACATACATACATACATACAGACAGACAGACAGACAGACAGACAGACAGACAGACAGACAGACAGACAGACAGACAGACAGACAGACAGGCAGACAGACATGCATGCATGCATGCATGCATGCATGCAAATATACATCCATGCATACATATGTACATGCATACATACATACGTACGTACATACATGCATACAAACACATACATACAGACCGCCCTACAGCCAGACAGACAGACAGACAGACAGACAGACAGACAGACAGACAGGCAGGCAGGCAGGCAGGCAGGCAGGCAGACACAGACAGACAGACAGACAGACAGACAGACAGACAGACAGGCAGGCAGGCAGACAGACAGACAGACAGACTGACAGACAGGCAGACAGGCAGACATATGTATATATGTATATGTGCACAAATCTACACGGTTGGGGGCGAGGAAAGGGGGATGTCACGGGAGGGTGTGGTTTGCCAGGGGTCGATTAGGCCGCCCCTGAGAGGAGGGGCCACGGGAGGCCGAGGAGGAGGAGCCGCAGCAGGAGGGGCACCCCCCGAGAGCAGGGCCCGAGCCGACCGCGGGGTGCCGGCCGCACCAGCAGCGGTCCTGCGTGACCGCCGCGGCCAACCGGCTGGGCCGCATGGGCGGGCGCGGGAGAGGGAGGAGCAGGAGCGGGAGGCACAGGAGGGGGGAGGGACAAGTTAGGTGCGCTCGCGTCAACATCTGACATCCTACCCCTCCCTCCCATCCCTTACCACGGCGCTGATTTTCTCTATCCGCGGACGCGTGCCGTAGCGGACCTGTGGCTCCGCGGGGGGAGGGAGGATGCGGCTGGCTCCAAGGAGGAACCGAAAGGGGGGGAAGGTGGAGGGGGGAGGAGGAGCAGGAGCGGGAGGCACAGGAGGGGGGAGGGAGGATGCGGCTGGCTCCAAGGAGGAACAGGAGGGGGGAAGGTGGAGGGGGGAGGAGGCACAGGAGCGGGAGCAGCAGGAGGGGGGGAGGAGGAACAGAAGGGGGAAGGAGGGCCGGCGCGAGCCTGGCTTCTGACACCGCGCAGACCGTTCAGTCTGGAGCGACCTCCTAGAGGAACCCCAAAACTGTATAAACATAAGCTGTTGGAGGTCCGCGCAGATTTCTTGGATCGGCGCTGGACGCTGGACCCCCCCTGGCGCGCGGAAGCGCGCCAGGGGCGGCTCTGGAGGTACCGCCAGGGGGCCCAGCGCCGATCCGAGATCCGCGCGGAGCTCCAAAAGTTGACGCTTATGCACTCGTTTCTTCTTCGACCTCCGCCGACCGACAGCTGAGGTCGGTCACTGCTGGCCTGGATCAGCCCGCCCGTGGCCCTCCAACCTTGAGCGCCCGCGCCAGCGTCGCCGCCGCGCCGACGCGGCGCAGGCTCCTCGGCCATCATCCTGAGGCCCTCGCGGTCCTGGTGCTGGAGGGCGAGCTTCTCCCTGGACTTGGTGATCAGCGCCGTCCGCTGCATCTCTTCCTCTGGCGGCGGACGGCTCTCTGGCGCGCCGCGCTGCCCGCTCGCAGGGAGAGAGGGGAGTGGAGGTCTGGTCCGGCTCGATCCGGTCCGACGCACTCGAAGTTGGCAAGCTCGTCGGAGGTGGAGTTGCACATAGGGCGCCGCGATATCGCACCGCCTGTACCTAACCCGACATGAACGACGCGACCCGCTGCCTGGACAGGTCAAGGCCCCACTCCAGCAGTGAGTGGGGGTCTGGATGTGCAGGGGCAGGGGGCGGGGAAGAGGGGAAGGGTGCGGGCGGGGGAAGGAGGAGAGAGAGGGAACGGGGACGGGGGCAGGGGTGAGGGGTGATGAAGCGAAGAAAGGATACGATAGGGTCCAGGGCCTACCACGCCTCTCCCTGGCGCTTTCCCGCGCCCCTCTTGCCTCTGCCCCTGCTTTCTCCGTCTCCTGTCCTTCCGCCGCCTGCTTCCTGCCCCCGCCTTCACTCGCTCCTCATCCTCCTCCTCCTGCCCGTCCTCCTCCTTCTCCTCTTTCTCCTCCGCCTCTCTCGCTCTCGCCTCGAACCAGCAAGAAGGAGGGGAGTTTCTTGGGGGGGAAGTGGCGCGAGCGCGTCTAGCTAGATATGAATACGACTCCCCGCTCGTGCAATGATGTTACCGCCTCTCTTTCTTCTTCTCTCTCTCTCTCTCTCTATCGTGTTGATGCTTGCACATCGGATGTCATGAAGTTGTATTCCCCGAGGAGTTCTTTCAATCGGCGTGTCTTTGGTCGTTCAGACATGGTGCTCCCGCGACAAGATTGGCCACGCTTCAAGATCGGTGATTTGACCCCGTCCTTCACGATGGCGCTCCCGCCCCGGCAAGGGCCACGTTTCCGAATCCGATTCCTGCCTTCCTCGTTGGTGCCATCCGCCTCCCTTCCTCTCCTCCGCCTTCCCCTTGTCTGCTCCAGTTCCTGCTACACCTCCTCCCTGCCTCTTCCCTCTCTTCCTCCTCCTCCTCCTCCTCCTCTTCCTCCTCCTCCTCTTCCTCCTCTTCCTCCTCCTCCTTCTCCTCCATCCCTTATCCGTCTGAATGGGGCTTTCGCCAAAGACTGTCGCACCATGTGTGATCCTGAGTATCGAAATTTGAAGCACTTAGGGCGGGTGGCTTTCAAATGTGGCTCTCGCCTCAGCGCCGCGCAGATTCGTCTTCAACGTTTGCAGCAGTTTCAAGGGTGGAGGGCGGGTGGTCTTCCAAATGACGCTCTCGCCTGAGCGCCACGCACACTTGTCTCAAAAGCTTGCAGCAGCTTCAAGGATGGAGGGCGGGTGGTTTACACAATGTGGCTCTCGCCTGCGTTAAGTTTACACTGGTCCTATTCCTGCTGCTCCTGTTGTTCCTCCTGCTCCTGCACCTGCGCCTGCTCCTCCTCCTCCTCCTCCTCCTCCTCCTCCTCTTCCTCCTCCTCCTCCTCCTTCTCCTCCTCCTCCTCCTCTTCCTCCTCCTCCTCATCATCCTCTTCCTCCTCCTGTTAATCCACCGCCTGGTCATCTAATGCAAAACAACCCCGTCCCGATTGCGCAGCAACCGACGGGTCACTCCTCAAAATGCTATTTGGGCATCAAGGTCACACCCTAGTCCCTAGTCGGCGGACGAATGTTGCGCCAGGGCGGCTAGCTTGCCCCTCTCACCTCTTGCCTCCTTCCCCCTCCCTCCTCCTCCTCCTCCTCCTCCTCCTCCTCCTCCTCCTCCTCCTCCTCCTCCTCCTCCTCCTCCTCCTCCTCCTCCTCCTCCTCCTCCTCCTCCTCCTCCTGATCATTATCCTCTCCTCCTCCTCCTCCTCCTCCTCCTCCTCCTCCTCCTCCTCCTCCTCTTCCTCCTCCTCCTCGTCCTCCTCCTCCTCCTCCCTCTCTCCTCCTCCCTCTTCCTTCTCCTCTTTCTCCTCCTTCTCCTCCTTGTCCTCCTTCTCCTCCTTCTCCTCCTTCTCCTCCTTCTCCTCCTTTTCCTCCTTCTCCTCCTTCTCTCCTCCTCCTCCTCCTCCTTCTCCTCCTTCTCCCCCTTCTCCTCCTTCTCCTCCTTCTCCCCTTCTCCTCCTACTCCTCCTTCTCCTCCTCCTCCCGCTCCTCCTCCTCCTCCTCCTTCTCCTCCTCCTCCTCCTCCTCCTCCTTCTCCTCCTTCTCCTTCTCCTCCTCCTCTTCCTCCTCCTCCTCTTCCATCGGACCCGGCGCTCTGCGCCGAGCTCTGATTGCGGCGAGCGCACCCACGACTCGGCCGAGGGAGAGCACGAGCATCCTCACCGGGCTCGAGGCCAGCTCTGGTCACGGGCCAGTGCGGAGCTGGCGGTGGCCAAGACGGCGCCAGGTGGCCGAGCAGCCCACAGCAGCGGCAGGTGTGAGATCACCCGGTGCGGGAGCGAAGAGCTCCTCGACGTCGCCAGGCGCCCTGCCAGTGCGAGATCGCCCAGTGTGGCGGCGGAGAGCTCCTCTACGTCGCCGCGCCCTGGCCGTGCGAGGTCACCCGGTGCGGCAGCGGAGAGCTCTATTTACGTCGCCGCGCCCTGCCAGTGCGAGATCAACCGGTGCGGTAGCGCAGCGGTGCGAGGTAACGGCGCGGCCACGGAGCCGAAAAAGGCCACGACCACATGAGCATCCTCAGTCCAGCGCCCCGAGGGCGTGGCCCGCTTCGGCGGCCAGGCCCCCAGCGGCGCCCGCCGCCTCGACGCGGAGCACGCCCAGCCTCCGCAGCCAGCGCACGCGCGCCCCCTCGGGGTCCACCGGCCAGGGCAGCCGCCAGCAATCGGGGCCCACTCGCAGGTCGCACGCGGACAGCTGCACCGCCCCTTCCGCGGGCGCCCCTGGCAGCGGCAGGTCGGCGAGCAGCCCCCCGCCAGGCAGTCGCTGGAACGCTGGCACGCCCAGCAGCTCCCGCGGGGCCTCCTCGGGCGCGGCCGCCGCGGCGGTGGCGGCCGCCTTCGGCTGCTCGAGGCTGGGGGGCTCGGCCACAGCAAGCGCGGCTGCCCGCGGCAACGGAGCCAGGGCGCTGGGAGGCAGCGCCGTCCTGGCTTCTGGCTCCAGCGAGGGGAGGAGCCCCTGCAGCTCCTGCGGCAGGCCGCGCCGCGCCAGCAGCCTATACACGCGGCTGCCCCCGCCGAAGCAGCGGCTGTGCACGAGCACGGCCCGACGCAACACGCCCATAGCCTCTGGACGCGCCAGGGCCGACCCCTCGAAGTGGACGACGCTCTGGACGTGCAGCGCCGTGGCGTGCATCGCAGACGAAGGCACCACCGCGCCGTACACGTCCTCAACCTCGCCCAAGAGGGCCGCGGCCTCTTCATGCCGGCCCGAGCACCGCAACCCGACGGCCAGCTCGAAAGCCAGCAGCACAAAGGCGGAGGCCAAGAGCCAACCACGCCGCTCCGCCGTCGCGGACGCCGTGGGGCCCAGTGAGCTGCCAGCCCGCTCGACGCAGCGCCTGGCGGCGCGCACCTGCGACCTGAGCTCGTCCTCCGACGCCTGGCCCGTCGCCTTGAAGCGTTCGAAGGCCTCGTGGGTGCGCGCCAGGCCCTCCTGGATCCGCGGCGGCAGCGACGCCTCGTAGGCACAGCGGGCGCAGGCACACTCGAACCCCCACTTCGACCGCAGCTCAGAGGCGCGCACCGAGAAAGGCCGGCGGACATCGAGGTAGGTCCAGGTGAGCTCCTCCCCCGCGGCTATGTCACGCCCAGCCCTTGCGACCAGCGAGGAGCCCAGCGGGAGGCGGGTGCAATTGGGAGAGCAGTCGTGGTTCCAGAGAGAGCCCAGCGGGTAGAGCGCCACCTCCGACATGCCTGGGAGCGTCTCCACGGAGGAGTACCCGTCCGGCTTGTCCACGAGGCCCAGCGTCGCCATGGCGTTCCTCTGCAGCACGTGCCCGAGCTCCTCTGGGCTGCGCGCGGCTTCGGGCAGGTCATCCCCCCAGGCCTCCAGGGGGCATCCGCTCCGGGCCTGGCCCTGCTCGACGCCCGCCCGGGAGCCGAGCGCGCCGCCGTGGTCGCCCGCCAGGGCGCAGACCTGCGCGCGCAGCCGGCGGGGAGCGGCCCTCGCGCTCCTCGGGTCCAGCCTCGCGCAGGCGTCCTCCAGGGCCTCTGCGGGCAGGGCGATGCAGTCTGTGCACATCCACTTCTCCCCGAGCAGACCCATCTTGAATCGAGCAGAAGGTGCATATACGCCACGGTCTCTTGGCTCGGCCAGGAGGGCGTATATGCACGGCTCCTGAGACCCAGGAAGGGCCCAGACAGGGGGCAATGGAGCTGTGGCGGATTCCGGCAACCCTGAACCCAAAAACGTTGTCATCTCTGGGGGACGCGTATTTTACTTCCGCCGCCCTTCCACACCGGCTTCCGCCCGCGGAGGCGGCCTAGCGTTACTTCCGCCGACCTTCCGCCGCCTTCCGCCACGGAAGAGATGGTAACTCCTTCGACCCTCGAAGGCGAGGCCCGTTTTGGAATCCCACAAATATGGAATATGGTCGCCAGATGGGGGAGCGAAAGGGCACCGATACCGCTACTCCATGGACCTCTCATAGGGTGCGTTCTGAACAGCATGTCGAAGAGGATCCAGCCGTGACGACGAGAGATCCACAGAACGAGCAGCGGCATCGGTGCCTTCTCCTCCTCTGAGCCTCCCCGATCGTGGGGCCCGCCGCGAAGGCCGTCTCCACCAGCAGCAGCGCCCCCGCCGGAAGCGCCTCGGGTGGTGCCAGCACCGGCCGATCGAGAGACC